TATGCCACCGCATAAATTCCCACATTTGCTACTGAAAATATTATTTCTGTATCAATTTCACTCAAGATAAAATCTTATACAAGGAGTAACCAAAAGGCCTCAAGCTCTCATTTTCCCAACACAACTTGATTTAGATGGGCTTTGAATACTTTGTTACTTTTTACTGTAGGAGAATAAAAGGTTGCTATCATCCTGTGAAATTCTGTTTGAACTGAATAAATCTATATACTCATGGTCAAAAATGCAGCAACTGCTAACGTGTTATCACACCTACACTTGGTGATTACTCACCTCTCCGCTCAAGATTGTCYCTGCTCTTATACAGATGGGAGTTACACAAGGTGAAGAGAAAACGGAGTATCCTATCTGTAACTGCAGGAGGAACCAGGCAGGAAATTAATGCAGATTTGACACAAGCTAAAGGCATGATCCAGCAAGAGCATGTGGGTGCCTGYACCCCACGTGTGGCTCTCAGTTCAGCTGCGTGAGGCATCGATGTGGAGCTTGGGGCTGTTCAGCTGTGGGCAGTGCAGGAGAAACCACTGGGTCATCATCCCTAAGGGCTGGGAGCTGTTGCTGCTATGGCTTCCACAGCTCAATTTGTCACTCCTGACAGTTATATTTGAAAAACATTTTGTACAAATCAGTTCTGAGAAAAGTGAATCCCCATGGGGAAGCTGGGTTTGCAGCTGATAGAGACAGAATGATCACTCTTGCTTCAGCAGTGCCTTTCAGTGTCAGTCACAGTCTCCCCTCTGTCTCCAGTCAATTTCTTCATTTTTTCTTCTCCTTTCCCACAACCATGACAGTCCTGCTCAGGTTRCACATCACCCAGTGTATTCCTCAGTTACGCTTTTTCATCTTATTTGAGGAGAGAGTGCCTGGCATAAAGGCAACAGCAACTTGAGGTGGAGAGTTGTGCTTCCCTTGGCTGCGACAAAAGGCAGGGCCTGCTGTGCCATCCATGGTGGTGAGAGCTCCATGCTGAGGCAGAAGCTCCCATCCATGGCACAGGGACACTTGCAGGGACACTTACAGCCTCAAGTTACACCAGGGAAGGTTTAGTTTGGTCATTAGGAAAAATTTCTTCACAGAAATGGTGATTAGAACAGACTGCRCAGGGAGGTGGTAGAATCACTGCCCTTGGAAGTGTTTAAGACTGAACATGGCACTTGGTGCCATGGCCTCGTTGACAYRGTGGTGTTTGSTCACAAGTTGGATTCGATGCTCTTAAACGCCTTTTCCAGCCTAGCTGATTCTGTGATTCTGTGAGGTGGCACCTGGCTTTGGTCCAGGCCCCAGGTATGGGGCGGCGGACCCACCCTGCCCTAAGGGACAGCGCAATGCCTGGCATGCCCACATGCCACAGGAAAGTCTAGGAGATCCCTGAGGATGCCCCGCAGCATCAGGAGCCGTAGGGATCGGGATCGCGATCGGGATCGAGGACAGATCAGGATCGGGACCGGGAGTTCCCTCAGGCTCTACGCGTCCCGCCCCTCTCAGCCCCACGGCGCCTCCCCCCGCGCGCACGCGCGCACAGCTCGCGCAGCCCAGGCACGCGCGGCACGCAGGCGCGCAGCCGCCCCACCCCGTCCGTGCCCCGGCGGCGGGAGCTTGAAGTGTTCGAACGGAGAGCGGAACGGGAAGGGCGATCCGCCGGGCTCCTTCCTCCTTCACCCGGGTCTTGGGGGGTTTGTGCTCCCCGAGGGACCTCCCCGCGCTCCTCAGCCTCTGCGGCTCGGTGTTGTGCCTGCGGTTTTGAGGTGCATCAGCTCAGAACGAGCTTCACGGGTTTGTGGCCCTGCTTATGGGCTACCCAACCTTCTCTGCGGGCTGARAAACCAGCAAGGGGAAAGCTGTATTGGGTGTTAATAGAGCCTTTTGGTGTTGAGAAAGTAAAACGAGTGAGTGCTGTTATATATTACGTAGCTATAAGCAGGAAAACTGAGGACATAGTCACAGACGTACCCAAAGTGCAAAAGTCAAGTAAGTACTGAAAAGCAAAATTGTCTTTTCCCCTCCTAACCCAAGTTTCTTGCTGGACAGAATTGTTTGTGTGCTGAACAGCATCACTGCTTGAAAATGTCAAGAATTCTTAGCTTAAGATACTGAGGAAGGATATTAAGAATGCAGAATATCTGTGTTAGTGTGCTGCCGAGTAACAGCATTCGCAAAACAGTGGAAAAAGTACTTGTTACAGTCATTTGAAAACGAATCTGCATTAGAAAGTAAAGGCAGAGAATCATAGGATTGTTTTSTTTTTTTAAAGCTATCTCTTAAGTTTGAAATTATTTTGCTTCTTGGAAAGACTTATTACATATTTGTGACATACAGTCTACATAAGCATGATGTAGCTTTTTCTAGGCTCTTGCTWACACCAAGAAATAATAGTATTAAACGTCCATTATATTTAATASATGCTGTGGGCTTCCTGTTTAATTGATAGATTGTTAAAATACCCAATTAAGTAGACTCTTTACTAAGGTCTGAGTTTTTTTATTAGAGAACCATATGTTCTGTTTTGAACAGCTGGGGGGGAACGTTGACTTAGGAGATAAATGAGRACCAGTGTCCTTTGGTACTGAGCCAGGAAGACCAGGGTTTCTGTTATTAAGGCTTTGGCATACTGAAGCTTTGGCATTTTTATTCTCTGAAGAGGAAGCCCCTTGTGCCAGTCTTGTGTTGCCCAGTTGTGGTTTGCAGTATTTTGTTCTTGAAAGGCTTCTGTTTCAAAACTCGTAATTGCAATTTGCAGGTGAACGGAGGTGTAGCTCTTGGTTTTCCAGCTGCTTCTTGTCATTAGCAGGTGGTTCACAATTGCTAAACTAAGTTAAACACTGCCAGATCGATTTGAAGTTGGTTCCTGCTGTGAGGTGTAACTTAACCATTTTAATCAAGGCACCTTTCTGAGTGAGCTGGGAATGCTTCCTGTTAATCAAAARGTTCTACCTGTGTGAGTAATTACATTTTTAAGCCGCATCCCAGAAGGATCAGATGAGACTGGATTATTTTCACAGACCTGGATACTCAATTATTTTGTTCTATAGAAAACATTAATTGTTTATACCTGTGGACAGCAAAAATCTTCCTGGCTGCACAGAGCTTTAGGAGGTGAGGGGAAAAACTACATAAAATTGATAGTAAAATATTTTATGGCAGTTAGTAGTGTCATGACAGGCATCCTCTTAAAGAAAAGCTGTACACAAAGGAAGATGCTACTTAGTACATGAAACAGTTTGTAACTTAATGCAGATGTCTTTTTTAAACATGCCAATTAGAAAATAAGCCTTAGAATTTCATATTAGAGCTTTTTACTCATTTCTACAACCACGTGGCTCGTTATAATCAGGTGAAAATGGCACCATAATTCATWCTGTCATTTAACAGAGACTGCTGTTCATCTTGAGATGGAAGAAACAGTGCTGGATAAATTGCCATCTTTGTGCAATACTCCAAAGGATTCTGGGGCACCACCTCCACAGGGGACTAGTTCAGGGAAGCAGGTATGAAAATTTACTTATTTTCCAGTAATATGATTCTTCGTAGTAGCAAAAATGCTTGTGAAATCATCAAGGAATCAGAAGTTACTGAGATACTGCTTGCTGGAAGGCTAGAGACATGTCCCTTGTACCTACAGCTACAAGGTTATGGAGGAAAGGAATGTTCCTGGTATATTTTGCTCTGAAAATGCAGATGTTTGCTATGAATACAAAGTGATGAAGCAACATAACCCAAATGCCATACTAAGAAATTGAAATATTTTATAGGGTGTGTGGTGGATTTTTTGCTGTCATCTTCAGTTGTATCTCAGATAATAATTTTCTGGGTTGCTGTGCATGCAGAATGACTTTCTGTGACTTCTGCCTGCAGYGGAACAAAGTACAGTGCTTTTTTGTATATTCTCCATAGTGCTGAGCTCTACTTTGGTCTTATCCTGAAATGTRAAATGGTGATTCTGTCACACTCAGCATCCAGATCTATACAGGATAGGCCTGGTTTGAAATTATTCTAACTAATCCCTCACTCCCATATTCTAGTGCATTTCTATGAATGAAAATGTTAAGAGATTATAAAAAATATTTATTTTGAAGAAAACCCCCTTTTTTAGATGGTTATGAAGTATCTCGAAGCATGAACAAGTCAAAATTATATAGATATTTCTAATATGCTCTATAATACAGATGTTTTGTACTAGTTCCAATGCAGATGTATATGTGTGATAGGATGGAACAACAGGAAAAAGAACCCTTCATTAAACTAGAGGGGGAAATTAAACTTGATAGAATAAAATTAGCCAAGTTGAAATATGCTCTATTTCTTCTACACAAAGACTAGATGAGTAAGTTTGCCTCAATAGAATACAGGATTTGGTCCAAGAAAATGTGGAACTACATCTTTCTATATCCTGCAGCTGTGTATGCAAATACTTGTGAAAGGAGGTTAACTTTGTTCAAGTTTTTGAAGGCTATACAGAGAATTAGGAAGTCTGGCTTTACAATGATAGCAAAATATTTTACATATTTGATGTAGATAATAATGATGGATAAACAGTTGTTTGAGATTTGATAAAAAATTAAGATTATTCTGACCACCTGGATTTTTTGGCTTTATTTATTTTCCTTTTTAGCAAATGAGTGCATCTCTGAGGGAGCGATTAAGGAAAACAAGACGTTCATTCAATGCCAATTTTACAGTGGCAAAGCGGCTCAAAATAGACCCTGAAGAAAAAGACTCAACTAGTGCTGACACAGRGTGCTTGYCAGAGACAAGTACAGACTGTTACAGATTACAAGATGGGTCTAAAAACCTGGAAGGAAATGGCACTGGACATACACATTTCAAAAGTCCCTTACAGGAGAGTGATCCCTGTGGATCAGCAGAGAATTTGCATGTGCCACAGGTTGATCTTGGTCAGCAACAGTCCCTGGAAGAAAAACTAAAGCTGATGAAACAAGTGCAAGAGAAGGAAGAGTTACTTCGTAGGCTCAAGCTGGTGAAGATGTATCGATCCAAGGTGAGGCAATACTTTCTGGTTTTTTATTTTTTTAGTGTGTGGTGTTTGTGTATTGTCTCAGTTTAAAGCATTTTATAACGCTACCTGCAGGGTATCAAAAGCCCCTCATATCAGCAAATGATGACTTTTTTTTGTTTGTCCCGATTTCAGAACAACCTGTCTGAGCTGCAGGCTTTGATAGTGAAGTGGAGAAGCAGCACCCAGCTGATGCTGTATGAGCTGCAGTCGGCCTTTTCTGCAGATGGCAAGAAAGTGAGTCTCACTCAGCTCATCGATACTTTTGGGTTAGAGGACCAGTTACTGCACTACAGCAGAACAGAAGAAGATTTTCTAGACGTATAATTTACATGTGCAGAGCTTTCTTTACACAGATAGAAAAGTAAAAAAGACTGAATAAATTCTGATCGTGTCAGAAGTATTGGTCAGACAATGGACATGATGCTTTGGAGTTAGGAGGTTTTTTCCAGAKATACTTGTCAAGCTGTGCACATACATACAGTAGGCACTGTAAAAAGCATTACTTTATGGAAAAGGTTAGTTAAACTGGTGATGTTTTGGAGAACCTGGTGTAATGACTTGGTCAGGGAATTTTTATTTAATAAAATAAAATTAAGTCATACTTCGACAGGCAGAAGGCACTTCATTTTTTGATTAGTCTCTGCATGGTTACTTGTATTGAAATAACTCAAATTGTCAATTCTGTTCATGTTCGGATGGGSAACAGTTCAGTTTATTGTTTGGAGATACACCTCCATTTTACAAATGTCTTCCTGCTGCCCAATGAAGGCTAATGACGGCATTGTGTGAGTTAAGTAAAGATAACTAATTTTCATTATATTAATATTCCAAAGCTGAAATAAGATGTTCTCCCTAGTTTTAACTCTTACTGAGGAAAATGTGCTAATAATGCAGTTGCTTTYAGGTACTGCTTCAGCCAGTCTCTTCAGGGCTGCTGTCTCATAAGCATTMTGCCACAGCTTGAGGTAATAGAACGGAAGACAAGAAAACTGAAACCAACTTTCTACTGTCCTACTACATCTGACAGTCAAGGTGTTTTCTCTTTTTAAATAAACAAAAAAAAACCCAAGGCCTTGTTTAAGTGGATTGCTTTAAACAATCAGCATCATAAAGCTSAATAAATCTTTACCATTTCATTTATTCTCCAATAAATGCCTTTTACATTTTTTTAATCTTAACTTGAAATTGCTTATTTTCTCATCAGAGTGACTTGTGTTTTTCATTTTCCCTCAAATCACTGCTTCTCTAAAATACATAAATTTTAACTACAACTCTTCCTGCTAGGACTCCTTGTTTTTGTATTGGTTACATCTTACCTCTTTTGTTTACAGGTGCTATATCCTGTTTTCCTAATAAGGATACAACCATGGTATTATACAACTGCCTGGACTCTTGATTTTTAAACAATATGTGTTCTTGGTTTCAGACCTTCAGCTTCTGACTGAAGAATTGCAAGCTGTTTTTTCTGTTCCCTTAAAAGGTTCCGTAGRAATTTCTGCTTCAAAATCTCTTGGTAACGCTGCCTTGTGGTCTTTTCAGCAATATCCCGTGTGTCTGCATAAAACAAAGTATTAGTGTTACCCTGTGCCCATGGGGGAKGTGTAGTCTATTTTGGACCTGTCCTGGGGTTATTCCAAATTCTGTATAAAATAGACAAGCGTTTTAATAAAGGCTCACAGTTGGGCCTAAGAGCCTTTAAATAAAACAAGTATTTCAAAAAGGCACTTGGCCTGCTTTCTTTAGTTTCTAGCAAGTACCCACTGTTTTGAAAATCTGTAACTATTTTCCACTAGTGGAAAGATCTCTATAGTTTTCCTAAGAGTACTGTTCTTAGCTCTACACTACTTCCTCTGTTGGAAGGGTGGAAAGAAGCYTATTGAACAGCTCTCATGAAAAATAAAAGAATGTTGCTGAGTGAAGTTATTCATGACTGTAATACTTTAACTTGAACCGTTTCAGGAATTTAGTCAATTAGTTTTGGTTACAAGAGCCACAGTCTCTTGTGAAGGTACACCCTTCACTAACCATGTTAGGTTTTGACAGGAAGGACTCTGCTCATTGTGCACATACAGTAACAGRCATTCCTTGCCCCTCAGGTGATGGTGGAGAACAGGACCATCCAGCCTTGGAGTTAGTCTCTGAGCATTTTTTACTTGTGCCCTAAAGTGCCTCTCTGGACTCACCAGCTGCCTCGAAGATATGCATTCTTTCTGACACAGAGATAAGCATTTCCTTCAGCTGCAGGCTGAGCTCGTAGTTTTCTTGTTCTTTTARACGGATGTACTTCTTCAGCTCTCTGACTTTTTTCTGATGGTTCTTCACATTCTTCTTGTGCAACTGTCCATTTTGAAGTGAAGAAAGTAAATATATGAGGTCACACAAATGCCGTTCAGACAAACTTGATGAAAAACCATAATCTTAACATTGTGTTGTAGCTTAATAAATTTTAATGTATATTGTTTTGAGTAGTAGCACATTCTAAACTTTACTTAGTATAGTGTCTTTCACTMACTGCATCCCAGTATGTTTATGGAGTTCTAATTCTCTAAGGAGCAGCCAAGGAATAAAGAGGTATGGGTCAGGAAGTGAAATTTATTAGAGATAAAGCTTGAAAGGCAAAGAGAGAAAAGGAAGTCAGTAGAGAATCAGTGAGTTAAGGACRTGCTCTTGGCTGCTGTGAGCTGCTGAAGGTGATGAAGGGGCTGTAAAGGGACAAGATAAATACTGAAGCTTTAAGAGGAGGCTGATGCCAACTAGCACAACTTGGAGAAAATCCAGTGGAATCACTTAAAAATAAGCATAGTCAATTCGGATGCAAAATCAGATTGTTGTGTCTGTTATTTTGAATACAGGGGAGTTGGGATACTGTGAACAGGCTGGTGCTCCTGGAGAGAAACATTAAACAGTGAAGACTGAAAGAATGCTTCATTAGAAATGGAAGAGTGACTTTTATAGGCAGTGCTATGTAAGAAGTGATTAGCAGATCTGCATTCAGATGTTCAGGATAGGAAAGTGTTTAATTCCAGTAACAGAGCAAGTCGATTTCTCTCCATAGACTTGATCTCTGCAGCAATCCATGTATAATGACTGCTTCCAAACACTGGAGAAATGCTGCTGTAGACAGCAYTGCTCAAGTTGAGGAAACTATTGAAATTCAGATGGACAAATACATAGATACATGAATATTCATCTGTGTGTGCTATTATGGCTGTACTCCAACAGTCCTTGAGTTAGCATGCTTATATCAATTGCACTTTTTCAAACACCTCTCACTAATGAAGGCAAGGAGCTGCATTTAAATGAAGGGTGTGTCTCTCAGATGTGGTAGTTCACTTAGGATTTACCTTATCCATGACAGCAAGACTCTCCTCCATCCCTGCTAACTGCTGAGCGATGTGGGTGTCATAGTTCTGCACAGTTAAGAACTGAAGAAATAAAACCAGAAACAARTCATCTTATGCCTGTTCATTCTCAAAAATCCCACTCTTCTATAAAGAAACCCATACTATATGCAAGTAAAGAAAATAGAATTCTGCAGTGGTACGGCTTCCTAATGATCATAAATGGACATTGTGAGGATACTCTTGGATGCTGTGTGAGTACTTGACTGTGCAGCTGTTAAAAAGGATGTTATCAAATACGGATCTATAATGGAAACAAGAGCCAAACAAGTATGTTGAGAATGTCAAAAACCCCAAGCTATACTTTTGCTCATAATGTAATCTAAGATAACACAGCTGGGGGTCTAAGACTGTCTTTAGGCTAGAAAGTAAATTATTATTTTCAGTCTTGTGGCTTCCTAGTCATTCTTACTTCTTTTATTGTTCTATCTGCATATTAATTGAGATTTCAGAGAATTGATTTTTTCCTTGAGCACACTGCTATTAAAATCCTCTTTATTAAATGACAAATGGCAAACCGAATAATGTTTTATGTATATATAATGGGCAGTATACTGGTTTCTGTAGATGTAGATTCATCCCTCTGGACTACTGTCCCACCAAAGTGACAGATAGAATTCTGTGGACTGTTCTAGTCAGAAGAAGAGAAACAGGAAAAMCCCAAAAGGCTCCTTGCCTACAGGATTAAACTCCTTCACTTGCTGCTTCATTAACAGCCCTCATTTCAGATGTTCTCCGGTCCTTGCCCACACACATTTGTGTAAGCCATCTTCCCRTTCCTATTGTTGGGGTATGTGTTGCCTTGTCTTTTCCACTAACCCCATATTTCTGCTCAAAAAAATCACATAACTCAAGCCCTTCRGGGCACTCAGATTCTGATTAAACTGGTAAATGCCTTTGCTATGTGCAGTTTAGCTCTCTCTGAGGGGCGAGAGATCTGCTCTTCAGTTTAATGAAGTCTGAGCAAACAGCAACACTGGTGATAAATTTGCCCCAATAATTTTTCAGTGCATTGTCACATCACCTCTTTGGAAAGCTGATCTGTTGGTTGGTGTTAGTTATGAAAGTCCTGTGGCTATGATTCGAACAAGCATTTTGGAGARCAGCAAAACAAATGAAGATTAAACAAAATATAAGTTTTGAATTTCCTTTTAATCTTTTGATTGAATTGCAATATCCTTWCCTGCTGTCCAACACTTTTTCTCTGCGCTTTTTAGCTGTCCCCACTACTGTATCATCAGCCTACCATCTTCCAGCATCCCTTACTCCAAACCTTTATGCCATCCACATCATTACCACAAGACTATAAGATTTCCCTGCTGTCCTCTACATCCCACACTACAATACCCAYAGGCTTTCCCCACAACATTTTTACTTCCTCTTCTCCCAGTGGTATTCTTGGCTGTCTCCCACAGCCTTTGCCTATGTTTCCTGGCTTGCCAGCTGGGCTTGTTCAAAACTGTGTAGGTTCTGACATGCTGGCCAGCTGCCCCTCTTGCCCGTCAACCATGGCAAACAATTCCCTGTTGTGCGGCTGGGCCMGCAAATGGCAGTGAGAGGGTGGAACTCAGGCCCCGCTAGGAGCTCTCAGTCCCCGTGTACAGCAAAGTTACGGTATTTCTGCGCAAYGCCGGATGGGGGCACCTCAGACCTTTCACTTTAAAAGGACGCTTCTCGATTTAAAAGATTTGTTCCTTGTCGCTGCAAAGTCCTGATTCCTTATTCAATGCCAATTTAGAAACACTAAGAGTTAGGGCTAGTTTTGCCTTAATTTACACGGGAACATCCCAAAGAATTTCATCACTGYTCAATCTCATGAGTAAAACTTCCCTTTGAAAGCTGAATTGTTGACCTGTAAGGCATTCCGCTTCTCTTGTAATGAGAGACTTACGAGGTATAACTATAAACAATCTTTGTTACAAGTACAGGCAACATAATTTTTTACAGTCAAAATATAAATTACAGAAAGCAACTCACTAGCTGGCAATCTTTTGAAATAGGTAGTATTACGATGTCCCGAGCCTTCTCTCTCAGATCTTGTATCTGCATTTTCATTTTCTTGTGCTCCCATTCCAGCTGTATTATCCCTTTAGAGAAGTCTTGAAATTCTATCATGGCAGTAATTTTTTTTTCTCCTTCAGCCTGAAAGAATAGATCAATCTTAATTAACACACTTTACAGATTATGGAATAACTGTTTGCAACAAGATGGGCAAGCTTCCAAAGTCATAATTTTAGTCAGTTAAACATGCTATTTTGCAGTCTCTTTCCAGTCATTCTCCAGATGGTTATCTTTAAAGGAAGTTTGTTCTCTTATGCTCTGTGTCACAGCCTTGGAYCACAGAATTAGATGAAGAAAATTACAGCTAACCTCTCCCTCCATCTATCTATCCTACTTAAGAATGGAAAAGTGTTTTAGGTCAACAAAATTTAAAAAAAAAGTGTTTAAGGTATTTTGCAGATGTTGCTGAAGGCTTTGTGCAGTAGCAGTAAAAGGCTATTTTGTAGAACTAGAATGCCTAAAAAAACCCGTTTCATGAGGGTATGAAAAACTGTTTTAAATATCACCAATTTCACCTTACATAAAAAAAAACTGTATTAATTTTGTTAATTTAATGTGAGCTACTATTCAAATGCTTCTTAATGTGACTGTAAGTTTACCTCAAGAGAATTTTTGAGCTGGTGCCCAGGATATTAATATATTTTCAATTTACAATGCATGTGTAAGTGATGGTGTGTTGGAAGACTGTTGCTATTTTATTGATCTAGGCTGTATTGATCAAACATCAAGAAAGCAGTCTGCACTGCAATCTTTACATCATGAGAAGAGACATTAGAGAATTCTTAATAGCTTCCAGATTACATTTGAGCTTCCTGGTGTGTTGTAATGAATTGAAACTAGATGTCAAACTGGAGAAACAGCAAAGCCCCTGAAGGACAATACATTTGTTTAAAAAGCTTAAATTTCCTTCAGATAATGCAAATTACCGCAAGAGTGCTATTCAGTTCTTCAGCAATAGTCCTATGAATGAGAATAGCATCATTGTACTCTGGGATCTCAGTACTACCCAATTCCACCTGCCCTTGTTCTAGCAAAAGCTGGACAAACACATTCTGCTGAAGCTTCATCTTCTCCTCCTTCAGCCTAAGATGACAGAAAACAAAAAAGATTTCAACAGGATTACATATATCCTCCCATGATTCTCAGTGTTCATATTTGTTACTGGTAGGTGGTATGTTCATGTAGGGCTTACTCTTTKACAGCCTGTCTTCTGTTTGCTGCTAAAGTGACTACAAAATCTGAAACTTATAGTAAATGTATACGTAATGTTTTCARCCACTGGAATTTGTTCTTGAATGATAACAAATGTGAAAATTACGTTATGCACATGAAAAAATGAAATATTGCAGGTCCAAGCAGCAATGAAACCTAAATAAAATAATGTGGGAGAGCAGAGATGTGTAATTTTGTTTGTAACTTTTGGATCTGTGTTAGTGGAGTATTAAAGGTCAGCTGAACATAGCAAAAGACACAAAATTACCAATTGAGTTCTTGGAAAATGCTCTCTAATTCTGACTTCATCTTCTCATTTTCATCCATTCTTCTCCGGAGAAAGGCCTGCATGTCTGCCAGKGCTAGGGCCTTCCATTTCACCTAGGCAAGCAACATTGTGACATTCCCAACTTTTTCRACTTTATCAGTGTGTCAGGGAAAGCCTCTTCAAGGASAGAGAAGACAAGTTCTTAAGAAAAYACATGTTTGTATAAATATGCAGGCTGKTAATTTGAGAACCTAAGTACAGCATGTGAGACCTAAAGGTTATAAAGGTTTTTATACTCTACTCAGAAGATTATTTGTTCATATATACATAGTTTATTCACATGAAGGGAAATCATATTTGCTTCTCTTTTGGTCAAATTTCATGTATTTCTGATAAATCAGATTTATGCATTCATGCTTTTAGAATGAATAAATATGTTGCTAGAAATTTCCAGGAACAYGTCTGGTTAAGAATTTCTCTTTGTTTTCTAGAAAAATATTGGAATGCATTGGTGCAAGTGTAGAATGCTAATGAGAGCGGACGACTTCAACAGATATCTAGAATCAAATACCTTACAGGGTTTTTTTTGTATAGATAGAAAAAAGGAAAATTATATTTTTTTAATTAAACCACATCAAGGTCACAACCATTCTGATCAAATCCATCCACATTAATACGTTAATTTTCTCTCTGAAGAACAACTACAGCTAGAACAAGAGGTTTCCCTATTATTCTGAATTGAATGTGGCCAGAACAAACTGTTGAAATCAAATGGAGTTTATGCRTTGATTATTTCACCACAAGCTTGATCCCACAGGAGAACTCCAGTAAAGCTTAAGACTCAAAAATATCAAGAAGTATATGGTCAAAATAAAGAATTTTACATACCAGCTCCTCACTCTCCATTTTATTTCGTCTAGCTACACAAAAACGTTTCCATACAGACTGGTGTAAGCCACTAGGCATGTTCTCAGGACTATCCAGTTCATCCATGGCTTTCATTAAAAGGGAAAGTGCTTCTTGGTAATCCTCAGGTGAGCCCCTCACATAGGGGTTAGCTGTGTCATGGAGARTTTCTGTCCCTGGGGTCCTAGTGCACACACAGGATGTACTTTGTATTTTCTCTTGCATAGAAGAAGGTCACAAACAACTAAGAATGTTTCATACTGTCAATCTCTTGCAAAAAGCACATAGATAAGACTACACAAAACAAGAATCTTGTGTTAAAACCTGATGATTATTTAGATTGCATTTAAAATCAATTTTGTGGAATCAATAAGGAAATGTAAATATTCAAAATGGCAATTGTTAGTGTGATGGGAAATTAACTATTGCTAACTATCCAATAAAAGGTGGGCAAAATAATTTAGACTTAGAATACATAGTATTCTCATTCTTGACTCCTGAGAAATATTAAAATATTAGTGTTTAAACAATGGAATTGGAGGGGATCTTACTCTGGTCGATGGCTGTAAAGTTGTAAAAGTTCATCAAGGAGACCATGAGGTAAATCAGCAAACTCCTTCATAAAACCATGTTCCAGGTTCTGGGGGTGGGGAAGAAAGCTTTCTTGTTACCGCAATATTATTTTTTTAAAGAGCATCTACTTGCCCATATCTTAGAAATACAAGATACAGTGCTTTTCCAAGCACTCCCAAACATCATGGGAAGCTGCAATATTTCATAAATTCTTCTATGCACACACTGTTCTTTACTGCTTAATTTCATTGRTCAGTGAGTTAACCAGAACTCTTGCTTACGAAAAGCATGTTCTTTTCATTATCAAGACACAACATTAACTTCTAACTTCGGAACCTCCTTGTGTTTCTGAGCATCTYACCTTCTCTTCTTCTACTGCGTCTTTATAGGGGCCTGTGTAAGCCTCAACCCCATGTTTTGCAATCAGGATTTTTCTTGCACCTTTGACCTATAGCAAAACCAAAAGATTTCAGGAATGAAACTCAACCAGCAGAAGCACTGAATGACAGATTACCCCAGTAAGACACTTGTACTGAAATCCAGATCTACTACTGTGCTGTCCTGTCCTTTGATGACTTCTAYAGGATTTGACAGGGATGGGTAAAACTCTTCAGGAGATTAGATTGGTTGATAAAACTATAAACACTTCATACTCGGTGGTGTGCTCTGCTTCCATGGTCAGCCACTCACACTCTGTCTATGCTTTYAACTGATAACGTGTCAGCATGGCCCTGGCCTGCATTGGACACCTCAGTGAAAAATGTGATGKCATTACACATTCTTTTGTGAATCTTCCCATCATAAATACATCATAAATATATCATAATTGGTACTTGGAGCTTGATACCAGGCACTAAAGAATATTACATATAGCCAACAAATAACAGTATGTCTTCTGAATTTATGAAGTTATAGCAAAGAACTCCAGATGAACCAAGCTGAGTATCTGTTAAGAAAATCAGATGTATTTATAATGTATGTCACCTGTACAAATTGAAAGAAAAATCAACGACTCTGTAAATTGTCAGAAAGTTATTTATGGCAAGATTTTGTTATGGAAAGAGCAGACTTCATATGAAACAGTACTGTAAACATTACATTACTCCTAACATCAGCTTTTTGAATGATAGCTTACTTTTTCTTTCTTCTTTTTYGTAAGGAATTTATGAAGTCCAGCTCCTCTGTTGTCTAACTCTTCATCCAACAGTAAAGCATAAGTGAGATTGAGTATTTTGAGTTCTTCCTGTGAAATGATTGTAATAAAAAAAATGTTAACATTTCTTATGCACAGAATCAGGGATGAAAAATTAATGCTTTTTGCAATACCTGGTAGATGGCCATCTGTGATTTCATTTTGTGTACAGAGAGTTTGCAGACAGTCTCATCAAATTTTTGTGTTGTTTCCTTGATGGAAGCTTCAATTTTCTGCAATTCACTTCTCAGAAACTGGGGAAGAGAAGAACAAAAGCAGCAATATTACATCTAGAGGAACAAATAATTTCTGATGTCTCTCTCCATATCTATATACATGAGATGATGAAGAATGCACAATAYGGAACTGTATAATTCAGCCAAAGGCCACAGAAATTACTTGTTTGGAAAGAGTTCTGCCAGACTACCAAGTAATTTTGTTCCAATACCACTTTGAAGAATAAATTTGATTGTATTATTTGTGTATTGCATCAGCAGCTCTGGGAATGGAACCTGAAAAACACATTTTAGAAATACTGTGAAGGAAAGTTACCTTCTTAGGATATCACAAGTTTTTGCCTGTGGTAATTGTTATAAGTGGAGACTGCCTAATTCTGTCTAAGCTAGGATTTATTTAATATGCCACATGATCTTTGATGATATTTTTTTCTTAGTTTGTCCTATGTATTAGTATTCATTTTTAGAAGTTGCTCCTGAGAAAAATCAGAAGCTTTGGAGCACTGTGAACAAACACAACTTTTCCTCATTTTAATTTACCTCTCTATACTCTTCTTTTTGTTCATTCAGTTCCTTGGYTTTTTGCTCATATTCTTCGAATGTTTTCTTTTCTTCTTCAGTCCAAAGATCCTCAGGTCTGGATGTAAAAGAAGGTGGAGGAATATCCTGGAAGTATTGAAGAAAAATATGCTTAAAGTATGAAGTGTACATCAGCACACAAACCACAGCTTGCACTAAATTTAACAAAAGGTATTTCTTAGTAAGGTACAAGCCTTAAGTCAAAATAACATGTATATTCTGTTGCTCTGGTCTGTTACTCACTGGCTTACAGGAATTCACTGCTGGATCTTATAAAATACAAGTATTTAGATCTCAAATACTAATATCAGTACAAGATTTACCACATGGGCTGTTTCAGAAGCCCAAATCTAACTACATGCTAACATAAAATTCTTAGGGGAATCCTAATTTTCCAAAACAGATCGATTTCAGAGGAGTGCTTGGGTATACCCCTACCCATTTTTTGTGGCACTCCTTCACATCTGTTCCTTCCTCTACTGCTGTGCTATCTATATTTGCTGAGATAAATGAACCACAGTGTTTTTCTGTAAGATCACAGCCATGGATGATAGACCCTTCCACCAGGAATATAGCTGTTATAATGGTAAATATATTAGATAGATGTATTGATAATACTTTAAATTATGTTCCTGCAGTATTCTACTGTGGTAGGAACAGGTATTGACAGGTAAATCATAGGCAGTAGAATCTTGTGGTCTTTTTTTCAGTATGCTCTCTTATGGAGTCTATCAGTGATAATGCAATTCTACAACTCTCCAGCTTTCTTCTGTTACTGAAGTTGGAGATATTTGCTGGTTTTCACATTGCCATAAGAGCACACAAGCTTCCTAAAGTACACGGCAGAAACACATCTCACCATTTTCAAGATGTCTTCCCTCCTGAWTTCCAGCACTCCCCCCATCATATCATCAAGAGCACGCAGTCTGTCATTGTCCTGGGAACAACCACAAAAAATACTTGAAGGTACAAAAGGAAGTGTATCAGTTGCAAGTTTTGGTGATGGTAACAAGTGTTCACCTCTAGATCACCCATATGATTATTCAGTTTGTGATTGAGTGATGCTCTTTGGGATGTGTGTTAAATATGCCAAAAGTTTCAGAGTTTTTTTCTGGTAAAGAGATGTTCATATGCCAAATAACTTACTAAAAGGTAGTTTTGGAAAGAACACATAGGCATAGGGTACTCCTGACAAGTTATGATGAAAGAAAGTGTAGTGTTACTGTCTTATTGTGCATCTTCTTTGGGGCCAGAACCATCTTAGTGTTATTACAGATGAATTTTAAAGCCAGAGGAAAGCATTACAGTGTTCTAGTGTGAGCCCTAAAGAATGGAGGTTGCTCAATCAACAAACACACATCAAGCACGAAGCTCTTGAGTAGTAGCATGAATTTGGACATGTATCTAGTTCCCAACCACCTGATACTGTATTTTAAATCAACCCTAAGCACATGTTTAAAAACTGTGAGTCTAACATCTTATCTTTTCTCCCCCCAGCTGACCTGTGTGGTTCTGATTGTACACAATAATAAGAGACAAAAGGCACATATCATTATYACCTACCAGTTTAAATTTATGTTCCCATACTACATTACTGGAATGTTTCAGTGCTGCATTAATTAATCAGAGACAAAGGCTTGTAAAAGCTTATAAAACTTCTTTAATTACCATAGCRGCAAGGAGTCTTTCCCTTTCAAGCTTAGCCAGCATTTCTATTTGCTCTTTCTCCTCTTGAGTCAAGATTTTCTCAGCTTTAATCTGAAGGAAGAAAATGAGGTTCATATCAGGGCTCTTTTCTCCAAACATAATCACATGTGGACTAAGTACCTTTGAAAAATTGTGGTCCTGGTTTTGTTTGGGATGGAGTTAATTTTCCTCCTAGTAGCTAGTACAGTGCATYCCACAGCCTTGGGATTGGTATGTTGGTGCTGASCAATTGTTTTTCATTTGCATCAGTTGTTTTTCCTGAGTTTTATTTCTTTCTTTTTTACTATTTTCCTCTTAATTTCATGTATGATTATGATTAAATTGCATTTCTTACAATTAAATTATTATTATTGTTATTATTGTTATTATTGTTATTATTAGATCTTATTTCAGCTCAGAAGCTGTTCTAATCTCAACCCATAATTTTTCTCACTTTTACCCCTCCAATCCTCTCCCTCACCATGGTGGGATGGGGGAATGAGCGAGCAGATGTGTGGTGCTTAGTTGCTGACTGGGATTAAACCATGACAAGGGTGTAATATAAATTCTTAATGCCTTCTGTATCTCTGTTCTATGACTATATTCCTCGAGATGAAAATTCTCCTTTCAAATAGCTACAAAAATGTTTAAAATATCCTAAAATACAAAGTACCATCACTTTTGTTGATACTAGTTGTGTAAATAATTCATTGAATTTATAAGTACATTACAAAGTATGCTCTAATACTTAGATTCTTAGTTTGAAACTACTTTGTTTCAAACTGCTGCTCAGAGAAAATAGAGCCAACCCTTTAACTATGGAAGCAATTCCTGAAAGCCCAGTTTGAATGTCAGGAACAAAGAATTTCTACCTAATTGATGGACATGTTGAAAATTTCTAACAGCAATAAATTCAGTTTGAATACATCTTATTAATTTCTAATTGACTTATTAAGAGTTTTCTCCCTAAAAAGGAAAGGGAAGAAAAGTAGCCAAAAACATGATTTTAAGTACACAGACACATCTGCTTTAAGGTTTTCCAGTACTGACACAATGTCTGGAAATGAGAAGAATTAGAGAACAGGATTTGAGTGGGTGAAATAGAAAGATGCATTTTTCAGTCACCTCTGAATCCTGAACGGTGAGAGCTCGCTCTGGCATCTCATCATCCGTAAGGACTGGCTCCCACACTTCCACTTGTTGGTCAAGCTGTGCCAAGATTTCTCGGATCTTCTCGTTTCTTTCTTTGACTCGTGCTATCTCCTGCTCCTTTTGTTGTACAACTACGTTAAATTCCTCATTGAAAGCAGTTTTCACTTTGTAAATGATGTCCTGGAATATTGAAAAAGGAAACAGCAGTACTGTTCAGGTCACATCCATCCATGTTTATATAYTGCTCCTCAAGCCATCGGAATCATAAATGTGTCTATTTGTGTATGTGACAGGGAGATAAACTGGTAAAGCCTTTTTTTGAAAATCATAAGGGCACAGTTCAAGCTTTGTTAAATGAAGTCTTTTTTCTTTTTTTCCTAGAAATTTTAATTCATTTTCTTCTATACATTTAGCATTTAAGGAAGAGTCTGAAAGAAACATACTGCTGCCAAAGTAATAAAAAATTAGGCTGCCCTCTATTTGCTGTTTTTGGCCTTCTTCAGCTGAAAGAAGAAGGAGCTTCACAGAAGAAAACATGTGACCTGTGAATCYAGACTGTAAATCACAGGTGCAGAGATGCAGAGCAAAGGATATACTTTYCTGATGCAACCTGCAGTTTCAATAYGCTTTCATGTGATTCTCTGACATATGTAAATAAAACGTGCCCATTAAACAAACAAACATTGGAAACTGACTTTTAAAAAAACACCTTAGACCTTATAATAATTAAAAAAGCAGATATTCTTAGTGAACAAATTCTTCTTTTAGCATAAATAATTGATCTCAACAAAGAAAAGTAGAACATTAGGAGAGTAAACCATATGTCTCTCTTACTGTGTCAGTTTACTAAAATGACCATAAAAAGGATACAGATACCCTGAAATTGGATAACCARTTTCATAAAATGTTGTTCTTCCAAACCTTAGCTGGCAACTTTCCACAGCAGTATGTGCATTTATTAGCTTTTGCCTCAGTTACTCAGAGACTGGTGCAACTTTCCATTTTTTAGTGTCAGTACATCCAAAATCTGACAGTGGCTATGACTGCTGTGAAAACCAACAGATATTAGTGTCATTGCAGTAAGACAAATTTCAGAAGAAGTCACCTTCAATAATATTATCTGATTGAGTTTCTGCTCCCTGGTGTGCAAGTCACGTTGGTGGTATAGGGTAGATGTGTCCCCACCATACTGAAAGCTCAGGCTTCCATTTAGGCAGTGAAATGCACCATCATCAACTACTTCTTCTACTGCCTTCTTCTCCTCTTCTTCCTCAGATAAAACAGCCTCAGAGTCATCCTCAAGATTTTCCTCCTGAGCCTGCATATCACAAACATGGCAATTGTGTTAAATTTGTACATGATCTAGTGGCACATGATAAAAAGAATTCCAGAGGTTACATTCTTCAATTAAGCTCAGTGATCGAAATAATACAAGAAGGAATTATCATATCTGGGGTCCATTTGTAGGTTCCCCAGCACAGTACATAGGAATACTGAAATAAGTCCAGTTATAGGCCATTAATATGAGTAAAGATGTTAAACATTTAACATGTGAGGACAGACTGAGAGWMCTGGAATTGTTTAGCCTCAGGAASGAGAAGRCTTGGGGGGTTCTTTGTCCTGTGAGGGTTGTCAAACATGAAAAGAGGTAGCCCAGAGAGGTTATGKAATCTTTCACCATGGAGATATTCCAAATCTCACTGGACACAGCCTTGTGTAAATGCCCTAGGAATGTTGGACTAAATAACTTCCAAAGGGCTCTTCTAACCTCAGCTATTCTGTAATTATTTAAGACTAATWCATTTTTAAACAACATTTCAGCTTTATTAATATTTCTAAATTTTCTGGCCAACTTCTACGGCAAGAAAATGGGCCTTAGGAATATACCTAGATAAAGAAGTTTTAAAATGCAAGCTCAGACCATCATGATCTGTACCTTAAGAGCAGCRATGTCAGCCTCCTTTAACCTAAGAGCTTCCTTCACAGTTTCCAGCTCTTCTTCACTMCGTTCCTTCAGTGGATAATTGCTCACTTCACAATCCATATGGAAGCACTGCTCAAATTTAAAATACAAAAACCCAAAGTAAGAAGTTCTTCAGAGTGCTTCTATCAGTTCATTTGTTCARTACCTGAATGCTAAACAGTTATAARGACTTCTTAGAATCAGGAATAAAATTGAGGATCAGTTAGTATGGACAATGTATTAAATACTGTTTTAAAAAATAACCTATGTGGTCTCTTTATCTATCTTTATCCACAGAATTAAACCAAAATTAGATTTCTTTTTTTTTTGTAAAATAACTTTGTCTTTCACTATCCTTGGAATAATCCAGTATCATTAGTTTGACTCATCTCCCTCTGTTTAAAGTAGTTTAAAATTTTGCCTTTATGTTCTGTGTAGCAGAAGTCATACTGACTGCACACAGAAAAATAGTATTTACTTCTCCTTTTGGCAATACTGTGTAAATATATTGYCTCAAATCAAGGAATTAAAGAGTTGCCTATTTGTTTATAAGCACCCTTTTCCACCTTAGAAAGCAAAAATCAACCAGGCTCAGATAAAATGAAGWGAATAAAAGATTTCCCTGAGCCCTGGGAAGAAATAAAGTTTTTCCCACTCCATAAGCAAATCAGAAATGTATTATTTTGACTCAGTAYCTTAAGGAATAAATAAACTACCRCAGAAAATGTCTTAGAAAGCAGAGGTTACCTTAACTGCACGTCCTTTTACACTCATAACATCCCAGCACTCATATTTGATTAAATCCTGCAAATAGCAGTAGGATAAACTCTCCATCTCAATCTTCTTCCTTGCCTTTCAAGATACAATAGAGAMAACAACCAGGATGTGGTGCAAAGTAACAAGATATTGACAATTTGCATTGAGTTATTGAAAGAAAACTAACAGATGAAATGAACTATCAATATTTCATCACCTTAGACTATCACAGCCATCTTTCCAACAACTATATTGCATAGTACTGAAGGCATCGTGTTATATGGGAAGAAAAGCATTCTAGAATTTAAGCAACATGCCCAGGGCCACAGTGTGAAATTTATAGTTTCTGGCATAAATCACATTCTGATTTGCATTATCTGTATCAGCAGTTTCACCTGCTTCAGACAGTGAATTTAAATACTTTTCTGTTTTTCTGCTTCTCAGTAGTGAACAGCAACTTTGAGATAATCCTCTSTTCTTCACTCATTTTTCTCCCTTACACTGGTAGTTTTAAAATGTTCCCTCATTCTRTCATACCATGGCCACCTCTTGTTCAGCCTCTGCTTGCACTTGTTCCTGTTCTTCTACATCGAGGTTGAACTCCCAGTGTTCAAGTTTTTCAATGTCTGGCACCTGCTCGTTRTCATACATCATTTTCTGAACCTGTTTTTTAAAAAGTAAATATAAGGAATAAAAAGTAATTTGAATGTGACAAAGGAAACGCTATTTTTAACACTGTAGAACTTGGTATCAGAGAAAATCATTTTAATTAGCTGTGCTTTTAACTGCCTTATGGGAAGAAACAAAAGGAAAAGGAGAGGACAGTATTTTCTTTAATGGAAGGTTCTTAGGCAGAAATTAGCCTGTGAAGGGACAGATAGCTTAAGGTAGAAAGGTGGTACAAAATAYTCATTTGGAGCAAAGGAAACTGAGAAGTAGACAGGAGCTCTTGGCAGTTTCAGCATTAGCCCCTGAAGAAACACATCTGTTTAATACCTGTCTGCTCAGAGTTCATGAAAAAAATGTAACTGAGCACTAGAGCTCATACCCATAAAGGAAGCGTTCTTGTAAACAAAATTGGGAAGCTGAGCCATTATGACCCTTGTAAGTAACTCACAGTTTCACGCAGCTTTTTAATTCCCATTTGCAGCTCTTCCTTTTGGTTAGCAAACCTCTGAGTCTCTTCTTTCATAACCTGACATACAACAAATGTATTGTTGAAATACAAAAAAAAAGACAAAAGAAAAAAATACTGAAGTAATCAAAAGGAACATTATAAAAATCTAAAGGAACATTATCTGTAAGGAAAAACAAAAGCTAGAGAGGTTAATAACTGAAACAGACACAATCCAAATTCAATATGATGATCCTTAGAATTGCACAAGAGAAAACAGATTGTACWACCAGGTCACATTGTAAACTGGTTGTATAACAATGGAGTTCAAAAGAAAGAAAATAATAAAGAAAGATGGAATTACAAGTGTACAAGTGCTTACAGACACATTGAACTACATAAAGCCTACTGCCAAAATTTTTTAATCCTTAGATTTTTCATTGATGCAAATTTTCATGTTTTAATTTTTCATTAAGTAATCTGCTTGGTTTCTGGTAATGATCTGTGCAACTTTGGCATTTAGAATAAAAAACTCTTTGTAAGTTTCTAAAAGGAGTGAATTTGTCAGGCATTTTTTTTTTGCCTTGTTGGTTTTTTTTTTGTTCTTGTGTAGAAGTGGTTTTCTGGTCTTTAAAGCTCCTTTTGTGCTAGGCACCTTCTCTGATGTGTTTATAACCTTGGCCTAGGATTTCTAAAAGTCTAGGTCACAATGGTTAAAGAGAGGTGMAAATGTGAGAAAAGCTTTAGAAACTAGATCCCTTTACAGCAAATACCTTGGCCCCCCAAGTGACTAAAGACCCTTGAAAACTCTGGTTTGATTAAAACTTGTTCTGTGAAAGTACCTTCTGCATTTTCTGACCTATCCATGTCATGTCATTGGTACTTCCATCTTCTTCTGTCACCTCTGCACTGGAAGATTTTGATGGTGTCTCCTGAAATTAAGGATATAAACATCTTACTCAGGTACTTAAAGAATGAAAGAGAGACGGAAATGAAATAAAAGGTGGACTCACATTAGAAACAACACCAAATTAGAGAGTGTTATGTTTTGTTACCTAACCAGTCCCCAGATGTGATCCTGCAAACCCTTGCTATTATGCAAAGYCTTTTGACTCAAACRATTGACTGTACTAATCTCTGTAATYTCTGTTTTGATTGATTTAAATGGAAAAATGTACAATTAGTAACACACAGTGTATAGCAGTAACAACACAACGGGAATGACACGTAACTTCCCATGAGGACAAACTGACTTTGAGAGTTTTCTGTGGCTGAGGAAACCAAGTGAAACTGAGGAGGTGAATGTCATCTTCCCATAAATATTCTATTTCTTTGATAGCACTCCTCCACAAATGACTATTTAAGCATATTCAGCCTATCCTCAGGGGTATTTTTCCACTTTAACAAAAGGATCAGTGTATTAAGGACATTTTTTGGCATGTACAATTTTAGGATAATGATCAAACTTCAAGAAAATACCTTGAATTTCTTTATTGGAAGTGATTTTGATGTGGATGCTAGGTCAAGCTTGCATTCTGCCATAGATTTTAAAACAGAATTTTCATCTGAAGTAGACTTGTTCAGTGCATCATCTAGAGACTGCCAGTAAAGAGCAGCTTCCTTAACTTCAGTTTCCTTTATCTCCCTGGTAAACAGAAAGGGATCCGATAAATTTTTTGTGTATTACAAAAAAGGATGAAGTATTAAATATACTTTATAACACAATTATTTTGATTTTTAAATGTCTATTCATTATTTTGTATTGTTTGAGCTCTAGAATTGCATAATTAAGTGAAGTCTCCACAGAAGTAAAAATTCTGAAAGATGGATTGCCCATATTAGAAATACTGCTCTGACCAAGTCATCTTTAATCTATGTGTCCACCTGCATTTATTTTAAAGCACAGCTGTACTTTCAAGTGTCTCTTACTCCTAATGTCTGCTAAGAGCTCTCTATAGCCACAGCAGAATTCCCATTAAAGCTGTGGTGTCTCCTTATCGCTCAGTTAAAATAGTATTCCAGGAGATTATATTCCTTACATCCCCAGGGAGCTCATTCCAGAGAGAYGATTTGAGAGTGATAAGAAGTGTCACTATTGGTGATACTTCCCAGAAGATACTCCTAATGTGTTGTGCTGCAATCAGACCCAAAGTGCAAGACTTTTCCTAAGGCCAGGTTGCCTCTAAAAATGTGAGGAATTATTTTATTTCTATCCAATTCTTCTCCTTACTTTGAGACTAAGAAAAAGGAAGTCTAGAATCACAAGCAGATGCAAAAATTAATCTATCAGGATACAAGACATGATCAATATTAGTCTGTGACTTTATACATACTTCCACTTCAGACACACCAGGGCACAATCATTTTCACCATTAACCAGGATGAAATTGCCATCCAGCGAAAATACCATGGATCTGATTCCCCCTCCTTGATATGAGTGACAATGCCTTTGTGCAAGTATATCCTAGAGAAGTCATAGAAGCAGTATCAGCAAATACATTTTTATAATGAAATATGTATTKATATTATTTYTAATATTTAATTTGTAAAAATATTTTAGTATTTCTTTAGGTTTAGATAGAAGTCAATCCAAAGTGGAAATACAAAGTATGTAAAATACTAGGATTTTTAAGTCGAAAAGGTTTTACTACACATAGAACAAGTTTGTAGTATATTGATTTTGCAGGAGATAAAGAACAGTAGCAAAATTATCTAGTCTAAGATTTACTGAAGAAGGAAGTAAATGGTTTGTAAATATTGTATTCACATTCATCATAAAAACAATTGCCTTGTATAATGCTATGTCAGTTCAGGTTCAACATAAATTTTTGTCATACATCTCTATTCAAGTGAGGAAAAGTTTACAATGAAGGAAAGTAATTTTTACACTTCTGTCTCACKTAAATCAAACAAAGCCTGTGCCCAGACGCCCACCTACCAGAGTAGAAGTATTGTAAATAAACAAAACACCATCCTTGGCTGCTGCTGCCAGCCACTGGCTGTTGGGTGATAAGCAGAGCAAACCTGATCCAAACTGATTGCTAGGAATCTTCTTTACTGATGAAAATACTGATGGATCTTCCAACTTATTCTGCCAAACAAAAGAAAAAGGTTAGCAGCAGTTCAGATGATATCTATGAAATATCTCTGCCATTTTGAGAAGATTAGTGAGAGGTTTGCGGGTTATCACATGCATCACAGTTTGAACTGTTGCTGGATTACTGAGTTCAGGAACTAGTGCCATTGCAGTGCTGCCGATTTTCTTCTCATCTCTGCAAAAGGGTCTGTATTCAGTGTGTTTGAGCCTGGAATTCTGAGCCTTTCTTGGCTCARAAAGGACTGGACATGTCAAAGAGGAAGGCTGACCTTTAGAATTCACCTTTTTACCTGACATGACTCTTAAGCTGTGGGACACCTGTGAGCTGCAGAGAGCTGCAGTTCATCAGCAGCTCATCAATGACAGTGGCTTCCTGAAGCCCTCACTACTTCACTGTGAGGCTGAGCTGGGTTTGCATCTGAGAGTCCTGAGCTCACCTKGGCTTAGTCCTGATTACTCAGCAGACTGCACAAACCCACAGCTYCAGCACAGAAGCCACCTGGGAAAGGCCTGCAAGCTGTGTGGATTTTAAGAACCAATATAATAGAACAAAGACATTGCTTTTGCCACGTTCTGAGCAAGTGGTAGGACACTGAAAGTTGATGTATGGATGGAGTAGGTATTTTGAGTGGAGAGAGGATTTCTTTAAGATAATATCCTGCTATAGTCACTTCATCTACAGCCTTTGTTTGCTGGTGTTTAATCACCACCTTACCTCTTCAGAGAGGTGGTATTTACAGATGAAAGGTGCAMAGGTGCAGTAGCCATACACAATCTTATCCTTCAATCTGACTGCTGAACTCAAAGGGTAATCCAGATCATACTGCTCCTTTTTCAGGGCACTAGTATCAAACATTCCTTGTTCGTTCACATACTTATCATTATCTAAAAATGATGATATAAAAAACAGGGAGAAAGAGGCATCACTACCACTAATGCAAGTGCTTTGTCTATCATGTAATTATGAAAATGATCCACAGCAAGGAGTGAGCATGATGTGACTTTTCAGGAAAGAGATTGGGAATTAATTAGGTTTAACACCAACTCAGTGGGTTGTGCTGATGTAGTACACGGCAGTGAAGCAGAGCAATATCTCTCCTGGCTCTAAAGAAGTACTAAAAACAGTTTAACCACAGTGATAGAACAATTAGCATACACTAATTTACTCTGCTTCTTGAGTATTACATCAACAGTGCTAATTAGTTTGCATGCAGGTTCATGCCACCACTGCCTTCATTTAAAAATTATTTTAGGCATCTCTGCCATGAGGAACACACAGCCTGGGTGGTATTGGTTAAAATGCTGCAGTTCACATCTTCAAAACAGCATTTCGTTCCTGTTGGTTCTCTAACAGGTTCTCCTGTTGAGCTTTAAAGGGACACCTGAAATTAAGACTGGCACTGACAAGGCACCTGATATAAGACTGAAATGAATACAATAACTGTAGATCTCCAGCAACTTTGGAAAGAAAGCCTCATTTCATATGTCGAAAAATAGGTACAAAAATAAGTTCATTGTGAATATTTAAAGAAAATACAAACTTTGTTTGAAAAGTAGTAAAAACTACTTTTTGAAAAGTTTGTAAAATGTAAGGCCTTTTAAAAATGAAATATAAATAACTAGAAAATCTGACAGAAGGCTTATTGCCTTAGAAAAAGATCCCATAGTTTATTTTTCAGTTCTTACCTGTTAAGATTGCTGAAGACAGATAGAAAATTTCCAGTCTTGCTCGTTGGACCTCTGCTACATTCAGAAGTACCATCACTTCAACTAAGTCATTCTTTAAGTCAGAAATTACAGAAAGATGGAGCATTTCATCTGCCAGTACTGAAGCGGGTAAGGAACACCAATGGAAATTGTTACTGAAGCATGGTAGTAACACTGTTTTTACTAAGATTTCCTGTGACACAAAATGAGACACATGTCCAGAATRCACCTCAGCTCAGGAGTGCTGCATGCACACAACTCCACTTGAGGCATTGGGTCCTGTGAATCCCTAAGCCCCAGCACCTTATTATTACATTAAATGKTCAAGGCTGAGTTTACCTCCAGCCTGAATTGTAACAATTTTGAGGCTGTTTGCTGGTAACTGGCAGAAAAAGCACCAAAAACCTCTCCTCTAACAAACCACTCAGACAATGAGAACACAATCAGGCAAATTACAAAAATTAAGGTGATATAATTCTGTTAAACCAATTAAAAAGATAAAATCATGTTCTTTATACAAAAAATTATGGTGAATATCTATGCACACAGATATGAACTGTAAGAATAATGTTTCTGGAAAAATAAATTCACAAATTTCAAATTTCTTTTTTTGTGAGTTAAAATTAATCATATTTTATTCTTCACTATCAACCAGAAAAGCTGACAATTTCAGCAGTCCCCATGTTRAAGATGTCTGTGGTAGAAATTTGTAACAGGAAATTACACACAATGGTCATAACCTAGAGTTTGTTAGTCCAAATTCCCACAAAATTCTTTAGTTCTTTGCACTGTGATCAGTTTGTCAGATAATTCACTCTTTTCCTGGTGACTTAGACATACACTGAAAGAAAGGTAATATCGGTACTTTTGCTAACTAAAATTACAGAGAAAAAAAAAAAGTAAAAACCTAAAAATAATAAAAAAACAAACGCCCCAAACCAAATCAACAAAACAAACAAAAACAAAAAGAAGACTGCCTCAGACAAAATAATTGGGAAGCATGTGTTTAGTGCTCCAAGAAAAYACACAGAATGAAGGTGAATGGCTTAGCCTGACTGGTAAGTATACTTAAAATGCAGAAAATAGTGAAAAGAAAATGTAACTAATGTTGTTACATGTATTACCTATATATCCCAACACTTGGAATAATTTTGATGGATGAGCATCTAGAATAAAGATGTATCCCTCTGTAGCTCTTGCAATGAGGAACTGGCCACTCTGATCATAACTAGGTAAAATGCAAATCCAAGTAGAAATCAGTTCAATACCATCAATAAAAAAAGAGTCAAATAATTTAACTCCTGTAAGTTGCTGACTTCATTGAGAGCATAAACATAAATTTTAGCTTCTGGGTTTGTTACTACTCCTCTTGCAAGCAGTTCAGAATACATTGGGAAAACACAGAAGTTGTTAAAATATTTTAATTTGTTATTGGTAGAATAAAACTTTCAATTTCTTTATTCAACTAATGTCATTCCTCAAGTAATAATTTGACAGTATTCCTACCTACTACATACTTACTGCAAAGACAGCACTGGAAGTTTGGAAAGAAAAATTTCATGAACAACCCGTGGAGTTTCAGCTTTGGTAACATCAAGGAAAAAGATTTGACCTCTTTGGGTCCCTACAGCAACACTGTTGGAGGAGGGACAGCAAGCCATAGAAGTTGCCTAGTTGAGAAGTAAAAGATACTTAACAGTTCAATATTTTTTTATATATGACGGTACGTGTTAGTATGCAATTCCTTTTGCTATTTAAAAATCCCTAAAATTTGAAGAGGAACCCCAAGTGTTTTATTTGAAAAAATGTGTTTTTAACAAAGTGAGTATTTTAGAGACATCATGGAAAAATTACCTACGCTTTGCAGCTACACATCAAAAGCTAATTCTGCTCTTTCCAGAAAAAAAAAAGCATCCATTATATTCACTCTCTGGATTTTCAGTGAAAGAAAGTAAACCTAAATAAAACAGTGAGTGCACTGTTGTGTTTACAGCTGTTATAGAAAGGRATTTTTTTCCTTACTATGTCAGATTTCAGGATTTGAATGCATTTTAAATCAGGACAAAGCATTAACAGTTTGAAATACTTCTATCAATTCAATTCTTAAAACCTGTTTTTTTGTATCAGTCGAGGCATTTAGCTGTTATACTCTTGAAATTTTTCTGTTACTCATTAAAAAGAAAACAAAAAAAAAAAGAAAACCATAAAAATTTTGATATTKCTTATCTAAGCCCACAAACATGAGCTTAAAGACACATCACTAGGACGTTTGGCTGAAATTTTTCCTCTGCTTTGCAGTCAAAATAAACACATGACATGATTAGCTCAAGGAAACATTCTGAAACATAATCTTTAAATCTCATCCATGGGCTGTTCAAAGACATTACTGAGCTTTCCCCAGCACTGATTGATCCAAATCTGTGGAATATTATGGTATCAATCAAAAAATATAGAATATTTTAACTATCAGTCACCATATAAGCTCCTGGTTATATGTACCTCAATACCAAGGTTTAGCTTGCTGAGAAAAGTTCCATCTTCCAAGGACCAAACTTGTACTTCACCTGAAATTGTTACGGACTGTTGAACAGAGGAAAACAGAGTCAGAACAGGATGAAATAACCAAGTAGTCTGGAAGTGTCTCCTACAGAATATAAATTCAACTAATCTCTGAACATAGCAGACCAAGGGTTACTAGTTTCACTTGGGATTATTTAGCTTTTTATTAAGTCCAGTTGCTGCAAGATTGCCTAAGGAATACTTTTAACAATTTTTGTGAATTCCTGCAACTASAGGAATGATCTTTAAGCAGAATGAYAYAATTTAGGGCTAAATATGTAAGYRTGATGAGTRTTWGCACTCCCACCMTTCTGCCAGYAAYAGAACMACCKGCTTATAATTTTCTTTGCAAAGGGCTTGAGGAGAGGTCTTGTTTTCTCACATGAAAAATGATGGATATCAAAACAATAGTAGAGTTCTTCTCATACCCAGGAAATTTTGTAATACCACAGTGAGGTAAGGCTACAAATCACTGAGCCTTCACACTACTCATTCACATATAAAATCTACCACTCCCGTGCTAATGGTGAACAAAGAGATTCAGCCAACTTAATTGACTATGACCCCAGGTTTCTGAAACTGGCTACTTGAAGAATTTAGGGCCTGGAAATTAATTGCTGGGTAAAATATATGTCTTACAAGACTAAAAGATATCATGAAAAGCAAAAAAATTTCCAAGAATGCACAAATATCAGAACAGTCCTGATTTCTGCAAGGCTTTTCATTTTGTGCCTTAGMGACATATTGGTTACCTGAAAAGAGCCACAATTCTATATAAGAAATAATACAATTTCTTACCACACAGTAGTTGTTCCCTGGAGTAAGAAAATCAGCTGCCAGAAAACAACTGCTAGATGTGTCCAAGAGTTTGACAGCTTCTCCACTACGGGCAGGTTTGTAACTATAGACTGTCCCCTGACAAATAAAGACAAATAATCCATCACTGGGCTATGAAACTTTTCATTAAAAGCTTTCAAAGACTTCAACAAAAAATACCCATCTTTCTGAGCTTCACTCTGAAGTTTTATATTTGACTCTAACCTGAGGTAAAAAGTAGGATTCATCTGAATTTAGTGTATTATATTAATTTACACTAGCTGAAGWTGAGGTTAGTTCATTTTACACTGATCCAGCTAATCACATTCTCAAGAAGTTTTGTTTCTCAAACTTGCTTTAACAAAATAATTTAAACACACCCAATTCCATGTTACTCCAGAAACTAATAAATATTYTAAACCAACACAAAAAAACTTAATGTCTGTATAGAGAACAACTCTACTGCAGAGTTGCAGTAGGTCTGATAAACCCAAGTTACACTTTTCTCCCTGTGCAGGCAACAKCAGGCCTGGAGTTCATGCTCAGTAGGTCCATGACCTGGACACACAGGAAACCCTGTGTCACACATACTCAGATGTTATTTCTGTTGGGAAAACTCAACATTAGGTACTTCATATTCCACCATCTGTAGGAGACAATTGCTCTGTGCTTCATTAAAAATCTTTCCAATTTTCAGCAAAAACACAGAATAGAYTATGTTCGCCTCTGATATAATTTGTTAACTTGTGTGATTACATTAGACATTTTGTAGTGATAGTATCAGCACATGCATATAGAATCACAGGAATATCCCATTACATACTGCTGYTATCACAAATGCTGTACCTGGTCAGTGACAAGCAGAAGACTGGTGTAATCAGGAGTAAATACGAGACTGGATATGGGTTGTGAGATATCAGCACAGATTTTCATCTCATACTGCAGATCGTTGATGTGATAAAGGATTAAAATGCCCTCCTGTGCAGAAAAGTACCAATCCACATGAAGTCTATGTCATTTATASTATCTGGCAAACTGAACTGGAAGGACTTGTGAAAATCACTAGAGCAGCAGTGCTTAACTGTATCCTATCACTAATGATTTAATTTTCCTTTAGCATATTTAAATCAAAAGGACTCTAACCYGTGAGAATCTATTAAACATGAAGGTGTTATTTACTACAATTMTGAGTGACAATCTGTGTTTGATAACAACAGACCCTCTCATCAGCTAATGCTTTAGATTTCATATTGCTCTTTTTGAGACAGTGTAAGAATTTGTCCCCCTCTTAAGCAGGAATGTACAATGGCTTTGTCAGATTGGCTTAGATATTGAATTACATTTTGCACAAACCAATTTGGAAATTCTGTTGGCCATTTTCTCTATTTTTTGTCCATCTTTCTTTTCTGTTCCTCTACAATATTCTTAAATAAAACTAGGATTGTCCTCTTCTATTGCTTCTTTGACTACAACCATTATCTTCTCATGCTGCTCCCATGTTAAGTCTTAACAAAGTAAATAGACAACACCAGAAAAGATCTTTATAGTCCTGCAGCTCTTTACTTTTTCCTGTCTCCTGTCTTTGCAATGAACTCTGTAAATATACTCCATTAAAATACTCTTTGATTTTCACACAGTAAGTTAAAAGCATAAAGGATGCCTTACGCTTCCAGCTGAGTACAGTCCCTCATTACAAAATGCCATGGCAAGTAAAACTGGTTTTTGCAGATTGTTTGGTTTGCCACCTGAAAGCATAAAACCGACATAAAATACCAAATTTAATTTATTGCAACAATGTGTCACAACTCCAAATCTGGGATGATTTACTATTTATTTGTGACTAAGAAGATCATAGAGTCATTTAGGTTGGAAGGGATCCCCRAAGTCCGCTAATCCAACCTCCTGCTCAGCATAGAGCCAACTTCAAACTCAGAACCAACTTCAAAGTTGAATCATGCTGTCCAGAGTCATACCAGCTACAGTTTGAATATACCCCAAAATGAACATTCCATATCCTTTCTGGTCAACTTGCTCAGTGTCTTTCTACCTTCACTATGACAGTGTTTATTTCCTAGTATATACCCAGAATTTCTGTTGATGCAAACTGTGTCCTTTGCCTGTCTGGTTGTATCTTCTGTGTAATCTTCCATTGGACAGCTAAAGCAAAAGTAAAATCCCTCATTTCCTTTTCTCCAGGCTACACAAACCTACTTCTCTCAGACCATCTTTATATGTCATGTGCTAAGACCACAATCATCTTCGTAGAAATGTGCTGACCTTCATTCTATCTTTTTTGTATTGTGGAGACCAAAACAAAGTGAAACAAACCCCTAAATCCTAACTAAATTACAAGTGATTGCAGTTCTAAAGAAATGCTAAAACTAAGCAGTGGGGAACCTCTTTTAGCATTGCTTATTCCAATTAAAATTAGAATGAACAGAAACTTTTCCACTGCCACTGTTTCTCCCGAGGCTTTTAATTTGGCTCTCTATTAGCACAAAAGCTATTAATCTTTTGTCATGTAAACACACATATGATTGCCAACAATGTGTCTTACAGAGGCCAGTGTGAGATGAGTTTTTCTAACCAGTGGCTTCCAGCTGTACTCCCAGTATTACTCCCAGACATCAGCAGCCTGCCTAAAAGTCTATTAGCTTGATTTGAATATGGAAGTTTAAGACAGGACTCAAAGATGAATACACAGGACAAGAAAAAGCCCAAATAGCAAATTTTCTTGTTGCCTTCTACTCAGCTGGCAAAAGCAGTTCTGGTCACACCTCAGCTTTTTATTTCTTGATGATTTCAAAAAGAGAAATAATGCTGGTTTGTTGGGCTTTTTTAAAAGCCTTCCATTTTGGTGTTGACAATCAAAAGTGAAAGTCAGGGAGCTTAAAAAATCCTGTACTATATGTAAACRGTACATAAAAAAATAGGGTTCTACTTTATAGCTTTATAATTTCTGTAAGGAGAATAGGAGAAGAGAAGAAAGCACAAAAAGCTTTCCCCCRTCCACTTTCCTCCCTACTTGAATGAAACACACTCGGTTATATCTTACCAGATGAAGCTTTTTGTTGAAGAACACAAACACTGTATTTCTCAGCATCAATTGACAAAATATATCCTTCTTTACAGSTCATGTATATTTCTGAGGTTGCAGTCCAGCAGTGGGCAGTGGGATGCACTGAAGTCTTAATACAATTTCTAGGCTTCAGCATGAAAATAAACAAGTTCAATCAACACCTGACGAATATTCTTACAAGCTGTAAGWATATATTTCAAGATAAGAAACATACATTACATACATTTCAAGGTAACAAAAAAAAAATCATTACATCATAGAGTCTGACATCTTGTTTAACACCAGCATTATTTTATTCAGTCATCCCTTTACTGTAGACAGAAACTTGACAAAGAACATTCTCCACAAAAAGTATGTCTGGAGATAGTAGTGGAGAACCCACTCATCTCTCTAGAAGCTTATTTAAATGATGAATTATATTTTCAATTAAAAACTATACATTATTTAATTTGCATGTATCTGTATTTATTCTCCAACACTTGCATCTGTTACAATTTTATCCCTAGCTTGGAAATCCCTCCAGTATCTTCCCAATCCTCACAAAGATATTGACCCACCATAACAAGGTTGTCCCAAATTTTTAATGATAAAATTATGATAAAATTCCTACACTGAGCTCCTAGAGGTTTCTTTAAATATCAGAAGGGCATTGGAAGATCCAATTTAAATGGTTACTCATTATGACCTCAGCATGACAAATGCTTTTCAAACTGCTTTTCACAATATTCTTCCGCTTTATACCCATAACGTGCACATGTGGCTTTTGCATACCTGGCAGTACTAAAACACATTTTGTTTGAATAGTTTATCTTATTGCACAATCCAAATTGCTCTATAAAACAGCTCTGTCAATCTTTGTGTCATCTGCAAATAAGTGTTAGAAATATCCCTGACCTGGACTTCCCATGTGYCTTGAATTTCATTTCGCTAAAATAACTCTCATAAATCTGTCATCCATAAAACACGAAAAACAGAACTTGTACAGCAAATATTATTAAAGACAGAGAGTGGCCTGTTCAGATACAAYAGTAACAGAAGCCATAAAATACCGTGACAGAAAGAACCAGATAAAAGAGAAGTCAGGGAGGGCATGAGGAGAACAAARCACAAGAAATCCTTGGGAGAACATWTAAAAGAGAGGATTCAAAGCACCATGCATGTGTGCAGAAGTGGTGATGATTACTAAATAATATGATGGATGAAAAAAAAGAAGGTTCTATCATTCTATAAAACACCTGCTGTGTCACTAAAGGTTCTATAAAAAGAGAAAATATGRATGGACTTGTGGTGAAAACATAGGACAGAGATTCATAAGTACCTAGATTTCATTAACAAAATATGCCAAGCACTTCCTATATGATTCTGGGTAAGTAACTTATACTCTATTTATGCTTGCAAAGCATTTTTAATTTCTCAGGGGAAAAATATTACCAAAATAAAGTATATTAATATTTATTTTATAAATCAAGTGGGACTCACAGTAATAAATCTACAGCAAATAGGGCTCTACATCACCCAGAGAAACATTTAATATAGGCATTTGCACTGATTTTATAAGGTTTGAACATCACAAATCTTTGGGAAGGTTATAACTGAGCTTCTGCAAAACAGAAGCTTCCTGTGTAAACACAATTTCTGCAATTTCCCTTAGTATCTGCTGTCATGACTGTCTTTACACATAATCCCATCCTAGGATTAGCATATTTTACTCAGTTTATGTAAATCCCAAACCAAGTTGCTTCTAGAACTATGCATTGGTACAGTGATGCATAATAATAATAATAATAATAATAACATCATCAACAACTATAATAATATTAATGATAATATAAAATTAAAAACAATAACTATAGCAATAGCAATAATAATAGTGCTTTTTTTTTCACTTCTCTCCCTTTTGAATAGCACCTATTCAGTGAAAAAAAAAAAAAAAATCCGTGATGGATTCTTGCCACAAGAAGTTTTATAAAAAGACAATGGAATAAAATTAGTGCTAGAGATTAAGTGTATTCAAGTGGGCTCAGTTGTCCCTCTCTGCTCTGCACTGATGCTACCTCACTTTGAATACTTGAGCAGTTTTGGTCACTGCAATATAAGAAAGATTTTAAAGTATTAGAGAGTGTYCWAAGGAGGGCAACAAAGAGAGTGAAGGGTCTAGAGGGGAAGCTGTACAAAGAGAAGCTGAGGTCACTTGGTCTGTTCAGCTGGAGGAGAAGAGACTGAGGGGAGACCTCACTGCACTTACAACTTCCTCATGAGGGTAAGAGGAGGGGCAGGCACTGATCACTCCATGGTGACCAGTGACAGGATGCAAGGGAATGGCCTYAAGTTGTGTCAGAGGAGGGTTTAGGTTGGATATCAGAAAAAATTCTTCACCAGAAGTGGCTGGGCACTGGAACAGGCTCCCCAGGGAAGTGGTCACAGCACCAAGCCTGACAGAGTTCGAGAAAGTGTTTGGACAGTGCTCTTGGTGTATCCTGTGCAGGGCCAGGAATTGATCCTTGTGGGTCCCTTCCAACTCAGCTCATTCCGTAGTTCTGTGGTAAAGCACATTTAGAAAACTCTGACCTAGAAAAATCTAATGCAGAAAAGGRATGGAAAGCTGTAGGATATTTCAATTCCTTTCCCTCTGCTGCCCCGTTGTGGTTATACTTGGGTGTAATCCAGCCTCAGTTCTGGAGTATGGAACACTGACACACTTCCAAGAAGCAAACACGCAGAGTGGCAATGGGCTTGTTTTTCAGTGCTGGGGTGTTGGAAGGAGGTGCTTAACCTGTCAGGACATATGCATGTGATTTCCCTCCAGTGTCAGGACTTACAAGATCTAACAGCAGCTCAGCTTTTCTGCTCAGTTAGAGATGGAGTTTCTGTGCCCAGGCATGCGTGGAGTAGAGAATTAGTGCTGTAAGGCACAATAAATTAAAGTCCTGAAAAAAAATTACTCAGCTACCATAGTCTGGGGCAAGGTGAAAACATGCCAGAAACAGATTAATTGCCTCCCAGTGCTAAACTGAGTGCAGAACCTCACAGTTTAGAACAAAGGAAACAACATTTTACTACCACAACAAAAGGAACAAGAGCTTTTATTTCTGAAAAATAAATAATTCATTTCTAAATAATTTGCTGTTCACTGTCTTACCAATGACTGACAACAAGAATACACCCATCTAAGAAAACTGGACAGTAAATAACTATCAAAATATTTACCATGTAATTTGAAAGAAAAGGAAATCTTCAATGAAGACTATTAGAAGAGCCTACTCTTACTCCAGAAATATTTCTATGGATAAAGAGAACATAATCACATCGAAGGTGCTAAAAAGAAATTTAGGTTTTTCTGAAGACAATTGAGAATATACCCTATAGAGGTCTCTAGTATATATATCCAGTATGGTTGAAAGACAAACCTTTCGGTGTAGAAAAGTTCACAACATGGCTCTGCAAGTTCATAAGAATCTACTACTACTGAACAGAATGGCATTCATTCAAGGACAAATTCTATTAAACCTCACAAACCTTACACAGGAGCTGGTTTTTTCCCCCCAACACTTCTTGTAATTCCCTTTACAAAATAAAGAACGAAGTGGGTTTTGCAAAATTCATCATCTGCAATAACCTAAGAGGCATTAAGGCAGAACAAAAAAGGCAAGGCCCCCGATGAGCACATATTTTCTTAATTTTCCRTGTTCTAAGAGTGATTTCAAATATGAGCAGTTCAAATGTATTTAGAATCAATAAAGGATATTTGTTCATAGTTCCTGATTGTCTTGGAAACCATGGGAAACACAGTGAAAAACCTCTACCATTGTGAATGCATGAAGCCATGAAAAGAGGATGAGGTCAGGAAAACATAATTTCCTGGTTTTAATTTTTTGAATCTGCTTTGTATACTAATCTGGTAATACAGAACTCCCATTTGCCCATTGAGAAGAAGTAGTATAATGCCAGTGTCATCTTAGGCATGCTAKTTTGGGTATCTCATATATATCACAAGCCACCAAATAGAAATCAGTGGTCTTAGCATTAGAAGAGAATCCCAGATTTGCAAGTTAAATGCTTTCACACTTCTAGTGCTAGTCAGGTGAAAGTAAATTTAAAAAAAATGAGAACACTTTTGAAGCCTCTAAAAGAAGGCATCTCAAGGGGGGATAAAAAGTAAATAATTAAATATGAGTGAGACAAATGGCATAGCAAGGTCCAACACTGACAGAGGTACGGGAATGTATTTCAGTCAGAAGTAGGGGTTGCTCTCTGGAATAAAGCCTTCAGTGTTTCCATAYCTTGAGACATTTTCAGAGTCTAAAAGAAAGCAATCCCAAAGGGAAGTAAGGATACTGAGGGTCACTATCAGTTTAGCACAGGAACAGCTTTTCAAGGTTTCAGCAAAATTATTTTAGCTTGGGCATAGTTAAATGCTGATGCACTTCATACTGCTTCTGCTGATACACATTCCAACCTCCACTGCACAGATACAGGACTGTGCCAGGACCTGTGTCAGACATCTCAATGCTGTATTGCACTGTGAAGCAGCTTGGTGTCTTCTCAGTGTCCTGGCAAAATGGATTTCAAAAATATTGTTGAGGTAACAGATCCATTTATTGGATGGCACCTATTTAACAAGCATGAGAATTATTAATTTATTAACACCTATTTGCACAGAAAGTATAATGACTTGGAATAGTAACAGTGAAAAAATGCAGTAAGTACCACAAATGTTTCTGCTTCATCGCCTTTTAGTCCAGCAATGGCTGAAACTGGCAAATCAGGGCCATGGTACGGATCATTACAACGAGAAGGTGGRAAAAAGAAATCCTCATGAGGACTCACGACTCCACAATCATCAGGGAGTTCCACAGGGCTGTGAAAAGGCAAAATACACAGTCTGAGGAGAAGAAATATGAAGAGTAAATGATACAAAATGGAGAAGCTGTTTTCAAAATGGGCTTTATTTCTGCGAAAATAATGGAGGAAAAGTGAGTATATCTATGTATTTACATATGTATTCTGTAATGCCAAAAGGCACAAAACTCTTTGGTATTTCTTTCAAATCACAAATTAAGGCCTTATTTATACTTTCACTAGTGTAACTGTCAGTGGCAATATATTCATTATATTAATAGTTAACAAGATTAAATACAGTTGGAAATGGTAGAGTGGCTGYCACCTTGAAGCATAGGTTTTATACTTCAAAGACTGCAACTTGAATGATACATACTACTTTTACACCAACCTCAAAACACATTTTGGCATAACTAAATTCTGGTTTTGCTGTGCTCAGTGAATTGCATTGACTGAGCCATCCTCTCTGGACCTGTAAATTAGCCACACAAGCTGAAAATGACATAGAAAACTGATACTGCTTTTGGTACAATTTGTGACTAYAAGATATTGTTGAACTATGCTTACTAGGAAGAAATTGATCCMAATTTGATGGTTTCATAGCTACAAAAGCAATGCTCAATGTAGCCACTTACAGAAAAGCAATCCAGGCACTATACTAATTCAGTCTCACAGCTTTTGATTGAGGCTGCCAAAGCAGCTGATTAGTATTAGCTTCATGGTGTGCATAATCTGATCATGTGAGTTCTAAGAAATGAAATCATAAATTTAATTCACTTGATTGACTAGCTAGATTTATAGTGGTTGTGATTTAGCAATTACTGACTGCAAYTGCTAGATGAACTAAGTGGAACTAAATCCTTTGCAAATAGATGTGTGTTGCTAGTCTTTGTTATTAAAATATRCTTGTACATTTTGCTCTTAGCCTGAAGGGTGCTCCACTTACTGTCGTGTAAGGTGATGCTCGTCCTTACTCCTTTCAATGTGCCAGATGGTAACGGAGCTCTCAGCAACAAAACACAGCTGCTGCCAATTCATAGGGTTAAAACTCAGCGAGGTCGCTGTTAGCCCYGGCTGAGGCTTACTGCACAGGAGGATATTTTCTTGCCAATTCCTTCATTAAAGAAAATAAAAGAAAATCAAATCCATTAAAAAGGTAAAAAAACATTGAAGCCAAAAGATCTGGATGTGATTATGACTTATGTTCAAGGTCCAGTTTGGAAAACAAATACTTTCACACTGACGAAAAATTTCTGTTGCCAAMCAAGTTAGGCAAACTAACCTGGGCATAAACCAAGGCAGAGTTTGTGTGGGGTTGTTATGTATAGCTGACAGCAGCCTGGAAAYCTGCTTTCCACTGACTTTTCTTTTGTCCATTATAACCTATTTTATGTTCTCCTCATCTCATTTGCATATTTTTCAATATCACATTAATTTTGGATGGCATTTGCATTTTCAGGTGCTATCCAATGACTGATTAACATCATTTGAATAAAATGGTTAAAACGGTTTCTTAATTTATTGGAAAATATATCTGACTGTTAATCTAAGTAACATTTATAGCTCTAGTATTTGTCATTATTACTGAGAGGAAAAACCTAAAACATACACTGCTGGAAACGGATTCAGTATAATCCCTTAGTCTGGCTGTAATAAATTCACTCATTGAAATGATCAYGAAGCAAACAATGGTTAACATTTATAGCATATGCAAAAAATGGTAAGTGTTCACACATTTGCAGTAACCCTCATTAAAATTACGGGAAGCTATAAACTACAATTCTGGCTTTTAAAGATACACTGATTTCTTGCTTTCTAAAGATCTGTCATCTTGTTCTTGTCTCATACCTAACAGATAACACCAACAGGGTTTTATAGTAGATAATTTACTAAGATTTGAAACTATAGTGAAGCATGTATCTGAAAAGGAATCTGACATTAAGCTTCTCCTTTGAACAGAAAAGAATGAAAATTAAGGATAAAATATCTCAGATGAAAGGCAGCTTTTAGTTATCCACAAGCTCTTTATATTTTGAGACTGATGTCTTTCAAAACATTTCTTATACCTCTGATTCCAAACTAGCTGCTTAAAGTACTGGGGCTGTGCAATTGTCATATAGTCATGACATCTAATGCTCAACATTGAGATTTCTGTCATCTATACACACACATTTCTACAATGAATGTACAATATATTCCAATCACAAAAATGAAGGTACTGGTTTCACAGGAAATTCACACACCTCTGTTCAAATTATTACAAATTCTAATGTAATTGTATTTTAATAATAATTTTCTAATGTAATTGTATTTTGTTACTAAATTCTTTGTGACTTTTATGATGGTTTTTAGCTGCTGATGGTTACAACACAATGATTCAAACTGGTTTAAATTGCTTGGCCTTAAAATTGCAACTACTTTAAAGCATTTAAACATTTCTAGGTATTTTCATTTTTAAGAATAATCTAGAGAAGTCTTTCAGGATGGTGCATTTTTGTGTAAGAGCACACAATGAACACATTGGACCATGTCACTTCTGCTGTAAATGACAAGTGTGTAAACTGTCAGGTCAGTGAGGCTTTGCTGGTTTCCAGTGTGATATACAGAGACATCCTTCTTGAACTAATGTGGATCATGAGAGTTCACAGCAAACATTATTGTTCTTCAGACGAGATAAAGAAGGGACATTTGTAATAGTAAATACTATCATTACTAAAATTCTGAAATTCCAGGAGTTTTTGCATCTTCACATATAATTGTACAAGAAAAGATCATCATTAAATTGAGACTATACCGACTGTTCCTCACATGTCCTTGCTTGCCTTTCTCCTACTACACCCTCACCATTTATTTTGAAGTGCTCAGACTCCACAGTCAATGGGAGCTTGCTGGCAATGGAGGAAAGAGCAGGACTGTATTTTACAGTACAAATAAAATATTAAAGGTTCCAACTTTCTGTATTTGCACTATATTATATAATATTTCTTTCCATGGCAATAAGCAGAAAATGATGATCTGACCCAGTGATCCATGTTAATTTAATCACTGAACAAAATTATAAGCCAGAACTAAGATCAAGCAAAAGTAATTAAGAGGACCACTGAACAGTCCAGGAGGACTAACCAATACAAATCGGCTTTAGAACCTTTTTCCTCTTTTCAGCAGACAACTTTCTTCCACAAACAGCATGGTGCTCAACTTCCAACAGTGAACAGATAATTAACTGATGCTGAAGGCTCTGGAAGTACTCCAAGAAACAAAATTTGGAAGAAGGTAGAAGATAACTTTGGTACAGCTAACAGCCAATTTGTCTATTTTTCTAGTGTATTTTTCTATACACTAGAAAATAAACAGCAATTTTAGTACAAAAAAAATGCACACAATGATCAATCAAAAAAAAAAAAAAAAAAAAAAAAAAAAAAAAAAAAAAAAAAAAAAAAAAAAGACAACCAGTATGTGTTCCACATTTGTTAACTTAATCTATGCTAAAATATTAATCACACAAAAATATGAATTAAATGCAAAATGGGATCAGAGAATTTTTTTTTGCTCTTACCATACTGAAAGAACAAATTCTGGGAATGAAGAGTAACTGGCCAGATATGGGCCTGTGAAACTAAATGCAAGTAAGGTGTAGTCCAGCTGAGCATCACCTGAAATGTAAAAATAAAAAATATGGTCTCTTACTGCCCCAGACTTCATTGTATACTACCACAGATACTCTCCTCACTTCCTTATATCCAGTTTAACTCTTCAAACATTCTTCAGGCCCTTGATTTCTTTGCTTCACTGTAGATTATTCTTTTGAATTGATCATAAAAATGTTCCCTATTAATCACTGCTTGGAATTTTTTTTCCATTTTTTGTTTTCAATAATACCTTGAAATTGTAAARTATTTTTCCCTGAGTACCATGAAATTCTTTATGGTCGTAATTTCTTCATACATATGAAAAAAGCAAATAGCATGATCCTTGTTTAAATGGCAAGGGAACTGAAACATGAATAGGGTAAGCAGCTAAGGAGAGAAACTACATGAAACAGGTAAAAACATAATTAGATCCTGGTCTTTGAAGTTTAACYGCAAGAACCCTCATCCCTCTCACATCCTGGATGTGTCATCTGGCTTTCAGCAGTCTGCTTGGGAGTCTACTGCAGTATGATTTTTTTGCTTATACTGACTACATTTTCCTRAAACTAATTCCATTTAACTCCTTTTCTTTTCCTTTTAAATTAGTTTCATTATGTATGGTTATATTCCTCCCTAGCTTGAACCTAAGTCAAACTAGTTCAGTGGAAAATTCCTTCCACTGCTTTCCATGAATCTCATCATAAGACAGTTCCCTGTCACATTGTTTTTCGAGACTTATTAAAAAAAAAAAAACCAAAACCAAAAAAAAACCAACTTCAGAAACTGGATGAWTAAAGTATTGCTTTAATGAAATGATGATGAGGAGGGTTACTACATCACTACCTTTTAATTCTGTTGGTTTACTCAGTTCTGGAAAAGTGTAGATGTATATGCTGGGATTCAGCTTCCGGTCAGAAAAGGCCAGCACCTGACTGTTGGCATTTGCTGCAAAGGCTCCCACCTGGCCAGACTGACACTGCAGTACTCTTGTCTTCTTTGTTTTGATGTCCAGGAAGAGGATGTATTTACCACAAGGGTAGCAGAGAGTTTGATTGTTGATAAAGCCAAAGTTCTTGTTTGAGAATCCCTGAACCCAACTGAAAATAGAGCAACTGAATGTTAGAACATTAATCAAAGACACACATTTCTCAAAATACTGTGCAAAAGGGAATGTTGTAGCTTAAGTTACACTGAATTGATGCTTGGGATTTGTTAGACTCATCCTCAAACCAATGTTACAAAACACAACAACTGAGATCCARTATTATGAGTCACTAGTTCAGTGTTTCCAAAAACACACGGTCAATCTCACCCTGATARAGCACAAAGAACTGGCACAAGAACATGGAGAGATGTTTGTATTTCTTTCAGTTTTCACTAAAAATAAAGCCAGTTCACAGGCTCGGTTTTGTACTCATATCACAGCAAAAGACATAACTTCATTTGAAAGAATCGCATGGGCACAATTCATACTTGGGACCCAATTGTGCTTGCTTAACCTTTTTGCACTTTCATAGTTCATCTCATACACATAAAATAAAAAATAMAAAGGYACAGCTTCTGTTTATATAAGCCAACCAGGAGGACTGTTCTTCTTTAAAAACACAAGTACTTCAACATGGTCAAACTCTGGAATGTAAACAGGATGTGTTACACAAGGACTGAAATAAATTACTGAAGGGGACTCTGCTTGTGAACTTACAACCTATCAACAAATTCATAACTGACTGCAGATGTGTGGACAAACAGCGGGGTTTCCTTACCAAAGGTATTTGCATTTCCCACTAATTGAGGATGTCAATTTAGCCTGCTGGTACCATGGCAGGAAAGTTCCAGCAGTGTAACAGACACCCTCTGTGTAGGACACTGCTGTCAGCATCTCCTCTTTGAATTACCATTTAGAAACATCCCATCACTGCTCTTTTTCTAAATCAGAAAATTTAACTGGGAAAGACCAGAAGCATTTTTATGCTCCTTTCGTGAACAGAAGTCAGTCATAAATCAGCTCAGCTGTTGATCCTTTGCACTCTTAGGACAAGATAATACTACTGCTTCATCACTCTCCTACTTAGCAAAATTTTAAAATTACCAGTCTTGAGTTATTTATGTCCAGCAACAGATTCCTATTATTTTTTGAGGAGATTCTGSTCTTGGCTTCTTTTTCTACATAGGAGAGGAGTCAAGTGGAGCCAGAGAGAAGAAGGAGCACAGACAAAGGGCTTGTGCAGATGAACTGAAAGCCATGGCAACAGAGGAGACATTTCAGCTGAGAGTGTTTTTCTGRGCCTTCCTTCGTACAAGAAGAGATTGATTGTAGGAGGTGCCATGGCACATGAGACCTTTCTGAACATGCTCACAGGACTAGCTCTGTGCTTTAGTCCAACATTAGGTCTGAATGAGTGGAAATGAAATACTTCTAATTCCTGTTTGTGAAGGTAAAATGAAATCTAGAAAACGTGTATGCAGGGATAAATTAATGGGATGACAGCACAATTTATCATTGGTACACATCCAGTAAAGGCCTAAGGGGGCAAGAGTTCAGGCTGTTATATATAAAAGTAGGTAGGTAGGTAGGTAGGTAGGTAGGTAGGTAGGTAGGTAGGTAGATAGATAGATAGATAGATAGATAGATAGATAGATAGATAGATAGATAGATAGACAGATAGATAGATAGATAGCCATAATACTTCTTTACTGTGCGAGCAACCACGCACTGGAACAGGTTTCCCAGAGAGGCTGTGGAGTCTCCCTCATGAGCTATTCCAGAGCTGGATGTATCCCCATGCACCATGCTCTGGGATGACCCTGCTTGAGCAGGGAGGTTGCACCAGATGACCCACTGKGGTCCCTTGAACCCGACCGATGTGTGATCCTGTGATCTGTGCAAATGCTTCTATCCCTCTCCCCCCGCGCTCTCCTCACAGATCCCGACCAGCGCAGCCTCCCTCTCCCTGTCTGACCGCCCTATTCAAGGAGCCGCCGCGGGTGAGCACAGCACAGGACCCCGCRCACCCCACCCRGRTGAGGAGCGTGTGGGGGCTGTGCCRGCCGCCCCCACCTCACTTCCAGCGCGGCCTCCGCGGCGCGGGAGGGTCCCTCAGTGCCGGGTCCCTCAGCGCCGGGTCCCTCAGCGCCCGGCCCCGCCGCCATCGCCGCCGCGGGGACGCCGCGCCCTGGCAACAGCAACGGCGCCCGCCATTGGCCGAGCTCGGAGCGCCAGCCAATCAMTGAGCGCGGGCGGGTATTTAAAGGCCGGCTGTGAGGGACGGCCCGCCCTTTTCTGGAGCGGTGGGAAATGTGAGCGGTGTTGTGAGTGCTGTTATTGTTGATAAGACAGGCTAGTTCTGCCCTTGAGCCGCTGATATATGTGGCCTTTAACCTGGGTAATCACTGCAGCTGCGTCTAGGAAGAAGGTGCTGAATCAAGTATAGGAGTGCATCAGTCTTTGGGGAGAAACTGTGGGTTCCTTCTCTCTGTCCCCCCATGTGTCCCTGCACCTGGTCCAGTGCCACCTGCCCTTCTCTAAGAAGGACAGCTGAACCTCTTTTCCTGTTGGCTCTTGTGTCTTTCTTCTTCTGGAGTCATTATCCCTGGAGGTGTTTGGGAGTTGTCTGGATCTGGTGCTGGATGTTGTGGTTTGGGGATGACAGTTGGGCTTRAGGACCTTGAATGTCTCTTACAGCCTTGATGATTCTGTAATTCTATAAGRTACAAAATTTCTTCTTGGATTGTTCACAGTAAAGCTTCTGAAGCATCAGAGTGAGCTGAGGGGAAGTTCTCGGGAAAGAAGAGAAAGTACAGCTGCAGCCTTTCGCTGTGTACTGTACTTCAGGCTTTTAACCGGGTAATAGAGTAAGAACCTCTAGGTATTGAAAAAATAGATTCCCTTTCCTAAAGGGATGATAGTTATTTATAATATCTTGCTGGTACTAGCTTGCTGTTGCTTCCCTGTAGAGTGGCAGTGTACAGTTTGGCAACAGTGCTGTGCACCCACAGTGCTAGAGGGCAATGATGGAGAGTGGCATTCCTGTCCAGAGACAGCAGGACAAGTCTGTTCCTTAGCTCTTGTCTCCACAGCTGCTCTGCATGCCCCACAGCTGCTCTGCATGCCCCACAGCTGCTCTGCATGCCAGGCAACACCAGGAGGGAATGAGGAAGTGGGTTTACTTTCTATGGTGCCTTTGAGGGCCTATTGTAGCATATGTGTCTTGTGATGCTGGTTTGAGTTCCTACATGCCTGTCTCCAGGCTGTGAGTTAGCAGACTGCCTGTGTGTTTCATAATTGCTACRAGAAATTTCAAATTAATTTCCTCTATTTTCATTACCCAAAATTTTGCTGAATTTTTCCTAAGGATAGGTACTTAGAGGAATGAGGACTATGTCCTCTAACACRCTTGTTTGTTTTTTTATGGCAGGAGAAATTATTTTGTTGGCAAAGGACACCTTATGCACAGTTTCTGTTTGCCTAAGGCATGGCAGACTTGTGCAACAAATTACCACTCCCTTTCTCTGCTGAACTGCTTAATATATACATATTCAAGCAGCAGTGACTCAACAAAAATTATGTTCCTCCATTCTAATGGCTAATGGTGTCAAGGTCATGGCTATGTTACTAGTGGCCATTTTAGTGTTTATCTGCAGGTGAGATCACCACAGAAAAATACTGGCCTTTGTGATCTGCTGTCTGAGGCCCAGCATCAGTGACAAAACCAACCAGAAGTGACCAGCAGGTAGAAGTTGCTCCTCGTGCAGGCACGGATTCTACTGATGAAATCAGAAAACTCTCTGTTAGCCTTGGGGGTTTGACAGAGAAGTGTGCATTGCCATGCAGGCCAGGATTCTCCTTCCCTTTGGCAAGAGCTGTCTTAGCCCACTGGTCCCTACAAAAGKGTTATTTCCTGTTAATTGATGCTTGAAAAGATAGGCTAGATATAAAAAYTTGTAGACCAGTGTCTCTAGAGCAGGTATTTGTTTATTGCAGTGCTGGAGGTGAGGGGGATTTTTCCACCTGTCTCACCCTCCTTTGTCATGTGTTATGGTTTATTTATACAATAAGTATTGTTTAGTATTGCTATGTCAGTATGACTTCATCATGTATACATCTGGAACTAATTTACATAATGCTATCTCATGGTTATAAATAGTTTTTCTGTATTGTGCTTGTGCCCAATTTAGGTGGTCTTGGGGGTCTTCTTTGATGAAGGCTCAAGGTCTACCTCACATCTGAACTTTTCAACTTTTCCTTTGCAGTATGCACGGTTATGGTTTTCCCTGGACATTCTGGATCTAACAGGTCTAAATTTTTAATCTTGTGCCTAATTGGCTTTAAATTTGCCAATTTCTCATTAGTACATCCTGCTGTTTCCCAATAATATTTGTCTATTTTTTGAGGTTATCCACCTGGCGAGCTTTTGTTTATTCAAGCATCAAACAACTAGTTGAACCATATTTTAGCAATTACACTGTATAGAAAGCTGTTACATTGTATAGGAAGCTATTATACTATGTAGAAAGTCTGGGTCATAGCTTTCAACTCAAACGATATAAGCATCTTGTAACTTTGACCCAAGTTAGTATAGGCATCATAATGTACAGCTCCAACCTGAAGATTGGTGTGTGGAGCCACACGAAGGGAATCACTTTACCTCTGTGGTCAGAGATTACCTTGGATACTGTGTGAATGTGTGAAACTCATTCAGAGGAAAGCACCTCCATTTCCATTATTGTACTCCAAGGAGWGTTTATACAAGGAAGGCCCTGGTGCCCTAATCTCAAGTGAAGAGTGAGCAAAGGGATGGAGAAGACTTCAGTCTGTGCTATGGTTCTTTCTTTTGCTGTATGCACAGACTGATGCTCCCACAGATCCTGTTTGCAGAAGCAAGCATGAATCCCTCTATGACTGCAAGATAGTAATTAGGTTAGATTTAACTTTTGCTGTGCCCTCTTGTCTGATGGGTTGTTGTCTMCCTTTGGGGTTTTCATCATGAAGCAGAATAGCTGCAGGAGACAGAAACCTCCTTGTTACCTTCAAGGTGGGGTTGAACCAGGTTTTGGAGGGCGGAAGGTGATGCAGGAGGGGGCACTGAGGGGAACCGGGTACCTCAGCAGCTGCTAGAGGCACTGCTTATAAATACCTGTGGCCCGTGGGATGGAGTTCAGTCGAGGGTGTCCTATTTCCACRGGAGTGCCAGAGGTGGTTGTGCTGTTATTTGTAAACGGAGAGACAGAGAGGGAGAGCATCGAGAGCACTGAATAGTGCCTATCCCAGCTAATGGGGAGGGCGCTCAGCTCAAGGAGAGACCACCGGGTAACTTCTCCTGGTCAGCAGAGGCAGCAGCGCTACCCCGGGCCGAGAGGCGGGTGGGAGGRAGGGAAGGGAAGCCGGGAGAGAGGCGGGGCCGGACAGCCGTCCCCCCGCGGGCGGTACCGGCGGTGCTGGGGCGAGGGCGGTGCGGAGCGGAGCGGTACTCCCAGATCGCGGCCCATCGCGTCCTGTCGAGATGTCGGGCGAYCAGTCCCGCAGCCTGGGCAAGGGTAAGCGCCGCGGGGCTGGCACAGCCGGGGTGGCGGGGGCGGGCGGGTGAGTGCCGGCGGTGACAGCTCCTCTCCCCGCAGGTAGCGCGGCGCCGGGGCCCGTGCCCGCGGGGCTGCTCCGGCTCTACAGCATGCGCTTCTGCCCCTACGCGCAGCGGACSCGCCTGGTTCTCCGCGCCAAGGGCATCAGGTGAGCTCTGCGCGGCCCCGCCGCACCTCCCCGCACCTCCCCGCACCCCGGGGCCCGCACGGAACAAGCAGCGGGCCAAGCTTCCTTTCTTTCCTAAATTAAACATTCCAGAGGGAACTGATTGAGGAGAGGTTTCTGTGAGTGTCTTGCTCTAAAGCTGAAATAAGTAGGCTCTGTATTAAATTAGCTGCATAAAGGCCCAAAGTAAAAAYACCAAGCTGATTTCCTTTTATAGTTCTTGCGTGTCATAGCTTGTCCTGGGTAAATGTGAATAGAGAACGTAACATACACTTTTGTTTGTTTTTGATGTGAGCAGCAGTGAAAATTCTGGGAGCTAAGGAATATTCTATGTTTCTGTTGTATCACTGCCCAGCAAAACACAATAGTGAGTGAGTGGCCTTTGTAAAAGAGGAAATGTACTGTGTTACTATAACCTTGTCTCATTCCTGTACTGTGGTAGGTTAATGGAATTCAGTACTTGTGTTTGTTTCTTTTTCAAGATAGCCATGTCATTTCAGCATTCTTAAATGTGATCTAATTTTCTGGGGTCACACATGTAACACAGCATATAATTTATGGTTTGGTGATAATAGACATATTTCCCATGTATCTTTCTTTACCAATATCTGTTTGCTTTCACCCTAAACACCTGTTCTATGTGAGGCCACAGTTTGGGAAGATAAGTAGGTATGATGCTCTCCTGATTTGCTCTTTGGTGCAGTTTAAGGTTCAGGTGTATTTCTTAATTGGGGTGTAGCTTATTTGCAATCAAGTGCTTCTTTTCTATATTGCCTCTGATTAATAAATGTGCTGAGTTCTGACCTTTGTTTTTAGCATGATGATAAAGGCTGCCTGTCTTGGGTGCTAACAGACTGTATGTCTGTATGTCTTTTATTAGTTTAACAAACTCATGGCAAGTCAGCACTTGCTTTCTCCAGCAAAGAATGGCAGTATTTCTGTGTCCAAAAATTAGTCCTGTACAGGACTTTAGGAAAACGAGGCAGTTCAGTGGCTTGAGAATTGAGCCTCTCAAGTACTGAACTGTTGAGGTGACTGTGCTTCACCTGGGTATGGGGTGGACTGGAGCAGAACTGAGCCTGTCTGGGTCTTGTTTCTTTTGCTCTTTTAGCCATGAAGTAATCAACATCAATCTGAAGAACAAACCTGACTGGTACTTTGAGAAGAACTCYGCTGGGCTGGTTCCTGTTTTGGAGACCAGCAAGGGCCAGCTGATCTGTGAGTCCCCAATCACTTGYGAGTATTTGGATGAAGCATTTCCAGAGAAGAAGCTGATGCCTTCMGACCCCTATGAGCGAGCCTGTCAGAGGATGCTCTTGGAAGACTTCTCAAAGGTACAGTGTGATGAGAGTGGGATTGTGTTCCTGACTTTACCATTGCACAAAAAACTGCATCTCTATTGCTGATGCTGCTTTCATCCTGTAAGGCAGGTCTTGTGTCTGGGATGAGCCTTTCAATAAGTGGAGGGGATATTTGGGACTTTTACTGTGACACAAACCACCGTGTCTCTGAATTGCTCCCAGCATTTATGTGCAAGGAGGGATGCAGRAAGGCATCCAAGCTAGTGAAAGTTTGTATGACTGAGGCAGGGCTTTGAGCATCCTACAGTAGAGCAAAGGTTAGTGGACCAAACCAGCTGAACATGTGAGACCCAGGAAATGACAATTGCTGGTTTTTATTCTGACCTTTTCTGTAGGAAGTACTGTGTCAATGCAGGATGTGGAGAATGCCTGATTGAGAGAGCCTAAAACCATGGACAAGAGATGTCATGTGGCTGTAAACATGGGACAAGTATAGGGAGACTGGGTTTGGCTCTCATTTCGGGTTGGTGGTGGTTGACTGGAATTAAACTCTCTGTACTAGYCTGTGATTTGAGGAATCTGGAAGTGAAAGAAGTCACTTGGATATGAGACACAAGAGAAAGCAACAGAAGATACAAAGGGATGTGGACAAAGAAAGGGGTGGAAAAATATATTTGCAACAGGCCTTTGTAAATAGACCTAATGAAAAGAGGGATTGTATGCTGGGAAAGAAGTATGTTGCAAGAAAGAAAATGTGCAGATGGGAAACACCCTTCTCTTCACTGTTCTATTCTTCCTACAAGACTGAAATTATTAGTGTTCGTTCTTCCTCTAGGCTTTTGCTTGCATTTTGTGAAGTATTGAAGATTTTTATTGTTTGTTTTTACATAACCTTTAAAGCAAAATCTCTTTAAGATTTAACTTGCATCTAACATCTTAACATCTAAGTTAACATTTTAAGTTGTGAGTGACTTGCTTTTGTCTTTGTRCTAGGTACATTAAAAACTTTATACTTTCCTTTGTACAGATAACATCCTTGCTTTTCAAGCATGTTTTGGCAGTCAAAGATGGACAGGACACCACGGCACTAAAAGCAGAGATTGCTGAGAAGTTTGGCAAACTTGAAGAGGTGAGASTATTTCATGGTAATGAGCAGATTGCCAGCCTTTTTATGATCCCTTTTTAGCTTTCATGCTGTGGCCTTTGGAGGTAGAGCTCTCATTTAGTTGGTAGCTACARCAAGAAACAATCTCTCTGAATTGCCTTGTGCATCAGCCCAGGATGCACAAGGGCACCATTAGAATAAATTTCAAGAAGCTAAACTAAACTTTATCTAATGATGAAGACTGTGCAGACTTGTAGAGATTTTTTAATTCTAGCTGACTGCTGTTATCTTGGATATCTTTGTTCTGCTTTAAATTAAGGAAACCTTGCAGCAGGTGCTATGAGTGAGGGCTGAGGAGTCTGAGCTGCTGAAGAGCATCTGTGCTGAAACAGTGCAGATACCCTGGTGATGACATAAAATCTTTTTCATTCTAGAGCTTATCTTTGGGGGTGGTTGGAAGCAGAATGTAATTTGTGCCTTGTAGAAATCCATCCCTGGACCATGTTCTGCTACCCATTCCTTCTGTCTTTAGCAGCCACAGCCAATGCTTGGGTGGATCAATGAGGAAGAGTTCCTCCAGAGTATTTCTATGCTATGCCAATAAACTTTTAGTACTTTCCTTGTTCTCCTAGCAGTCCTTTGCATTCTGTTTTCCCACCCCCTTGGGCTGCCAGAATACAATTGTTTTGAGGGTAGTCATGTCCATCTGATCAGACTGAAGTTGGAATAGTGCAGATGCCGAGTTCCTGGGGGAAGTCATGTGTGTTTCACTTCCCTGAAATGCTGATGTATTAAACATTAAGGAAGAATTAACATTCCTGCTTGATTAATACTGTGAAATAACTTACGTTCCTTCAGCGTCTCTATTTTACTATACCCACACTGTTTTTGCAGCAGCAGCTGATGATCAGCTGTGAATGGGAGGCCGGAACAGAGCCATACAAATTTCTCTCAGCATTTTGCGAGAGATATTCCAGAGGGGAGCACCTTAGGAGCGCCTCTGTATTTTGATTTCTGCTGCCCGACAGAGGGTGCTGTGTTCCTGTCTCTGCCCCTGTGCAGCTGTTAGTTGTGTTCTACCAGACACCTGGGAGTTCGAAAAGCTCGATTCTTCCTGAAGGGCTGCTTTAAAATTTCTACTAGATCATGGGGGTTGGGGACAGGGAGTAAATGCCACATGAGTGTGTGGAGTGGTGTGTGTCAAAAAAGACAAAAATTTGTAAGGTCTCTTGAGTTCCACCTTTAAAACACCAAAGTGCCTCAAAACAGAGGCACTAGTCTAATGAAAGAAGATACCAAGCCCTGGGAGGGTCCTGAAAGCATATTAAACTTGAATGACCATGGCATTTAAAAATGCATCAGAGTAATAAATGTAACAGGAGAACTTGCTGCATTCTTTGTGGCCCTGCTTTCTGTGCTGAGCTGTGAGGATCTTTCTGGTGTAAGTTACATTTGCTTCCTGTTGCCTTTGCACCTGGAATCAAATGCAGTTTGAGACGTAATGTTAGAAATGCATCCCTGACACCATTCGGCCTTGACCACCATGGGAAAAGAGTCCCTGCTAAAATGGTGCTCTAATTTACCTGGATGGTAAATGTAGCTGGATTTATTGCTCAAGAAATGCATGTGTGCTGTCGTGCTCAATTAGTCTGTGCCATTAATGCTTTCTGGCAAGTACGAAATCTCAAACATATTCTGAGCTGAATTCTTCTTTGTTTGAGCACATGCTGTAGCTTGCTCGTGATTCATATTCTGTGACAGTTTTTGAACCTCTGGTGAAGAGCTGGACTGACAGTTTAGGMAATAGCAGCTGTAGTATTAAGTTTAACTATTCTGACTAGCTCTGACTCTGCTAATATTGCATGCACAAGAGAAATATACTGTATCTCCTTGGTTTGCTCACTGATCCCTGTAGTGTGCCTGCCTTCCACTATGAAGTGGGGTTTTTGGTACTGTAGTGTTGTGCTGTATTTTTCCTTCTGGGGGCAAYTGACATCTCTCACCCTTCCCAGGCTCTGTCCAAACGCAACACCGTGTTCTATGGTGGGGACTCAATCTCAATGATTGACTACTTGATCTGGCCATGGTTTGAACGTCTGGAACCATTCCAGCTGAAAGAGTGAGTACTTTGCCTGGCTTCTGGTGTGTTCTGAAGTGCCTCAGCATCAATATTCCTTGTGTGCAGTGCAGCARTGGGCCACTCTTGGGGGCTGCTGAAGAAAGCTTGTACTGTGTTGCAGCTTGGGGGAAGCATCCTGCTCTAAGCTGGACATTGTACTGGGACAGAGAAAGTAGTAAAATGCAACTGTTCAAGCTGTTTTGCTTCCTTGATGCCCTCCAGATTTTCCATTTGCGTTACTCAGTCCCTTCCTTTTTCCTGTAGCTCTTTGAATCACACCCCAAAGCTCCAGCGCTGGATGGAGGCCATGAAAAAGGATCCTGCTGTCAAGGCTACAATGACTGACCCACAGATATACAAGAACTACCTCCAGCTGTATTTGAAGAACAGCCCTGAGGCATGTGATTATGGGCTCTGAGGTGCCAGGAGGCGCTTGCTGGCTGAAGTGTCAGTGCTGTTTATCAGTGTGGGAAGTTAGTGTAATTTGATGGGGGCTCTTCTGTGGTTGCATTTCATAATAGGGAATAAATCTGCGCTGAAAAGGCTGAGAAACCTTTTGTGAACTSCACTCCTTCCTGTCAGGAGAAGGATGTGCTGGTTTCAAGCAGGAGATGGAAAGTCATTGCTGGCCATGTATACTGCATAAAGGAAAATGTCTTTACKTAGAGGTGATGGTCTGTAATCTCTGGCCTCTTTGTAGGCATTGCTGGTGAGCATTCCCTGAACTGGTACTGGTACCTGATTTAAAAATTGTAATACTGGTGTCTTGAAAAAATAATAAACAGTAAACAGTGTTGTCTTCAAACAGGTTTTCCTTCCTCTTTCTGGGCAGCTATTAGTCACTGGACTGCTTAGGCAGAGAGAGAGGAGCAGKGCACTGTAAAGACTAAAACACATAGTGTGGCTTGTGAAGTTAAGATGTGATTCCTAGTGCAAACTGGCTGTCTCTCCAGACAGCTCTACTGCCAAAACACTGACCTTGCAACCCTGCCCATCTGCCTCTTCTGAAGTCATGTTTGCAGGGGCCATCCAGTAAGGGCTTCCAGTTTGTGTTAGATATGCTATAATCCCTCTCTGCTGTTCTGAAGTAGTGTTGTGTTTATTCTAARTTCTAACCTGAAAGCTGGAGTGAGGAGTAAAGCCAACAGAAACCATATCCTGAGCAGAAGGATATTTAGTTTCTGTTCTCCTCCAGTCTTTAAAGCATCACTATACTTGTTAAGGTGTAATTAAAATTAGAGAATGGAAGTAGAAGGAGTTCAGTCAGAACATGGTGGTGTCTTGCTGCTGGTAAAGGAATAAATATGTCCTGTCTGATCAGGTGACAGGATCAGAGCTTTTCAKTTGAACATCTTTGAAGCTGTCCTATATGTTAATATAGCAGAGTGGGAATAAGATTATTTGAATCAGAAGCAGTCACAGGAAAAAAAAACTTCTTCCTCTCCTATTTGTTCCTTTTCTTTTTTCCTGTCCACATCCATGACTCATTCTAATGTTGCTCAGCTGTGTGTATCTGTCAGACCACTAGCAACCCAAACTAGGCRTAATTCCAGGGAATAAGCACACAGAAGGAAATAAGGCAAAGCAGCATGTCCAAGGACAGGGCCGTGGTTCCCAGGGGGCTGAGGTGGTTGGCATGAGATATMCAAAGACTGTTCTTAGCTGCCTCCCATTGCAGTGAGGTGATGAAGCATAGCAGAATGTGGTGGTTCATGGATTTTATGGTAATTGAGGCACTGGGAGTCTTGGAGCTTCTTTGGAGTAAAAGTGGAATGATATTTTTCCTGTAACACATTCTGCCCTGGCACAGTAACTTTGAGGTAGTGCATACTTGTGTAACTTCTAGTAGGAAGGAGACATTTGATGAAGAAAAAGAATGAGCAAGAATTTGGTCTGTCAGCCTGTGGCCATTGGAGGGGTTTGTTTATGCTCTTACTAGCTTTAATTCAAACTATGCAGCTTTTCCTCTCCTGTTTATCTTTGTGGCTTTTGAACACATCTGGCACTACTTAGAGAAATAATAATTATGCTGCTGTTTCTTCTAGAATATTGATGTTTTAAAAAAAAAAATTCCAGTCAGGATGTGATGCTACACATGTTTCGTAGATTGTCATTAGAGAACCCAGAGGAAGCCTAAAGCTGTGAAGTGTTGTCAGGATGTGGATCTAGGCCCTTTCATTAGATGAAAGCAGGGCTTGAGCTTTATAAAGCCAATGTCTCTGAAGTAGTATTGGTGGGATCTCAGTGGCAAACTTCCAAGAATTAATTACAGAGCATTTTGATTTTATTAGTGGTTCTGCTTTGTGTAGGGCTTGTTAAAAGCTGTTAGTATAGTGCAGAAATATGTTACAGTTTGCTCCAATGTGTTATTTGACTGTAGTGGGAGATGTGACATTAGGGAGATCCAATACTAGGTTTAAGAGCAGAGATCAGCATCCAAAAACTGAACTGGCTCCAGCCAGACCACAGTAACCCAGCAACTCTGTTATCTGAACAGAAAGAAATGCTCTCCCCATCTTTATTTAGTGGCTGTAGTGTACCATTATAAATGTGTTACTTCAGCAAAAAAAAAGTAAAATGAAATATTCTGCCTTATAATTTGCTATTAAATATCTGTGTTCTAAATCCCCAGGCAGACAGCTGGGGTCTTGAACTCATTACAGCACAGCAAGAAATGCAGGCCTCAGGCAAAGTGTTTTTAATGTGGTAATGAATATGCAATACTGGCCCRGTCTTGAAAGAAAAAGACAAGTTATAAGGAATGGACTGACTCTCTCCTTTGAGGGTGGATGGGTGTAAAGGAGATATTTGCATTTGCAGTCCTGGTCAACAGAAGAGAAAGATGGAAGTCAGTTCAGGAAGGGATCAAGCAGATTAACAGCTCTTCCCTTTGGTCAGAGTTCTCCTCAAAGCCTTCTGTGGATCAGATAGTACAGTAAGTATGGTCTTTACTCACCATCTACTCCACGTTTTGCCCTTGACAATTGTTAGTGCTTGTGCCTTTGAAAAAAAGAGGGTGCATTTTTGTCTGTTTCTTTTCTGTGATCTGGGAAGTTTTGCTGAGTTCTGGGTAAGTTGAATAGGAACTTGGGTGAAAGGGACTGTGGCTATGACAGAAGGCCCTTGCTTGGGGAAATGGATGAGAAGTTTCTGTCTAGGGAGGTGTTAAAGGGGCCAATGGTTCTTGCACTGAAAGTGGTAAGAACTGGAGATACTAGTTTGAAAAGTCAAAAATCACGTACAGACACCTGGAACACTTGTCCCAACTCTGCATAGATGCCTATGGATTTGTTGCTTTTTCTAATCAATCAAAAAGGAAATCTCAACTTTTTTTGCTGTGTTTCACTTAATCTCAGCTTCTTTCCATGCTTCATTTAGCAGCTGTGTGTCCTGCTCACCAGGAGCCAGACAGGTCTGGCTGTGAGTTCCCATGTTGGGCATGTGGTGTTGGCACCGTGTTACATGTCCTGGGATTGCTCTCCCCAGTTTTCCACTGTTGTGGCACCTGTAACATTCCCCTGCATTAGCAGGATTTKAGAACTGGCTGTGTCGTATCCTCTCTCCTTTCCTTATTAATACCCTGATTATTTCACCACTGTTCCTTGGACACAGATTTCACATGGTAACGACTCATGAAAATGCAGTCTCTTTACAGTCATGAGGTCAGGTGCAATGTTACTGAATCACTCCCATTTTCTGTAAGATGGAAACAGTCTTTTCTACTGCTGGTCCAAAGCCAACAGGGATGGCAATTGTTGATTTATCTGAGTAAAATAATGATACCATGTGATGTTCATTAGTATTTTTTCCCCTCTACAAGACTTTGATTAACTAAAACAGGAGTTGCAAWACTTGTCAGTGAGATGCAGCTGTGCTTGGGGTGGAGTGTGACTGCTGCCTGCAATAACACTGTATCTGAGTCCAGGAGGGAGTGAGAATGCAGCTGGGTTTAAGGGGCTGATTCCTGGAGCCTGTTGTGTGYCTCTCGCAGCATCTTCTGGTCAGCAGGAAGCAGCTTGTGAGAACTAAAGCACGTGCTGCAGGTTTGTGTCTTAGAACCACCACCCTTGGCAAAACTAATGGAAAAAGCCATCWCTCCAGGGGAAAGGGAGCCAGGAATAGGGCACTGAACAGCCACAAGCTGGGTAGGGAACAGACAGTGTTTCCTGTAAACTGCAAACCATTTGCATGAGTCACCTATGTGACTGCACATAGKAGGGCTGAGAAAAAAAGGAGAAAAAGTTGTCAGCTTCAGACTGCCTGAAGAATCATTGAGGACCAACCGTGTCATTGTGACTTAATACTGTCCTTCCTGCAGCTCTCTGTAGCATTCCTGCTACTCAAAAGGATGCTTTTGTGCTGCTTTTGTGCCTTTCCTCCTGTCACTCAAACCATCTTCAGAAGGGAGCTCTCCACAAGAATGTGCTTTGGGCCAATCCACAGGTTGGAGTTGGGATGTTTTTTTCCCTTATACATTCATCATCAAGYTCTTTTCTGTACCTCTTTAGGCTTGGAAGCAGTGTTTGTCTTCTCTGTCTTGTACTAATTAAGGCATGGTGATTAATCAGCTGTTTGTGGGAAGACAGCTCTGATATAACCTGTATATTCAGGCCCACAGATTAGGTGCCTCAATTCCTCTCCATATACTTTATGTATGTTGGCTGTTTGGTGCTGGTGTATCTATCTCTGCTCTGGATCAAACCTTTCCGTTCCAAAGCTTTGCCAAGTGTGGCTCTTGCAGGGCAGTCAGTGCAGGGCTAATGGTAGAAAGCTGCATGTGGACAAGCCTTGCTTTTCTCTAGTTTTGGATACAGGAGGTTTGTAATCCTGACATGATGTGATAGCCCTGAGGGTGAGCTGAACTGGCAGGAATATCCTGCTGACAGTGCAGAACACCTCTGCTCCGTGGGAACGCCCATGTGATGGAGGCTGGGAAGGGCTGCTCTGGATCATCTGTGCCCACAGGCACGGGAACCTTCCAGGGCTGCCCTGCCCTGCCATGCCTGGTGTGAGCTGGCAGGACTGAGAACTGGAACATGTGAGCCAACTGAGTACCATCTCCCTGGGGATTTGGGAAATCCCTCTGTGCTGTCTGGTTCCCAGCAGAGGGCTAGAGAGCAAGACTGAAGGTTGGGAGCCACGGATTGGATTTCTGCCTTGATGCACCTGGGGAGGTGAAGGGACAGATGAGTCAGGCTGTGCACTGCGATTGCTGATCCCAGTTCTGCCTAGCTCTGCCCCCTGGGCCTGTATTGTATTGTGTTGGATCCTGAAGGTTAGATTGTCTGCAGCAATGTGCCCAGTTAGATTTCCAATGGCATTATAACTGTCATGGTTCTTCTGGAGCCATGGACAATAYGGACAGAARTTTAATCTTGTCTCCTTACATTTTWAAGTCTTTGTTGAGTTGAGACTGTTAATGGCTCTGGGCCCACCAGTGTATTTGAAGATGGTTTCACGTCCAAAATAGACTCCTTTTCCTGCTGAGTGCCTATGGCACCTTTAAGAACTTCACTGTGGTTTTATTTTTAATTTTTGGGCACAACTTTTAAAACAGTGCCACAGTCAGACATTTTACAGGCAGGCTGTATTGAAATGTTTCACCTCAGCACCTTCTGTGCTTCCCCCTTAGAGCAGATCAATAAAGCTAATACCATTTTTTTCTCCCTCCTCTAACATTCTGGGTGAGCTCTGGTTTTACCTAGACAGATTTATAATTACTTGTAAACTCAGAGCCTTTATTTGCAGACGTGCTGCCTTTGAATAATGACTGGGAAGCTTTGTTCTCTGCCTCTGCAGCCAGAGATTTTACTTCC